CATTCGAAATATTCGAATTCGAAATTTTAGAAACCGTGAAAGCTTCGAACTTTTCGAATTCGAAACTCCGCTGTGGACAAAAGTTGCGAATTTTTCGAAATCGAACCTCGGTCAATACGAAAATATCGAAATTTTTCAAAATCGAATCTCAGTTCGCTTCGCAAATATCGAAACCTTTCGAAATCGAACCTAGGGTGGTTCGCGACATCCCTAATTAATTGTTTGTTTCCCAGGTCGTTCTTTGTTGCGGTTCTTTGAAAAATGTATCAACGAGGTTGTACTAGTAATCTGTACTTTTGGAACTGTAGTTTTAGTGCTTTTTTAGAGCGCAGCTCTTAGGGGCCCGTTTCCAGCCTGAGCGGTGTCGGCGTCGGCGTAACCGGGGGGGGGGGGGGGGGGTCACATTACCCCCTCCCCCCCCCCCCCCCCCCCCGAGATCACGTGACCCCCCAGGGGTCACGTGACTACCCGCAGGTGACGTGACCCCCCTCAGTACCCTTCCCTACTCCTCCTCAAGAGCTGCGCTCCGATTCGTTCGGCGTTACAGGGATTTGTAAACGGCTTTCATTTTTAGAGCGCAGCTCTTAGGGGCCCGTTTCCAGCCTGAGCGGCGTCGGCGTAACCGGGGGGGGGGGGGGGGGGCGTCACGTGACCCCCCCCCCCCTCCCCCCTCCAAGATCACGTGACCCCCCCCCCGCCCGAGGTCACGTGACTACCCGCAGGTGACGTGACCCCCCTCAGTACCCTTCCCTACTCCTCAAGAGCTGCGCTCCAATTCGGCGTTACAGGGATTTGTAAACGGCTTTCATTTTTCAAGGTTTCCGATTGTTGAGATTATTTTTTTCAAGCTTCATCAATGCACACGTTTTAAAACCAATGTTTCATTTGCACGATATCCTAGATTTTCTTACGAGTTCTTACATTTGCTGCACACGTTTTGTTCTTTTGTATTCTATTTTGCAATAATCTAGATAGAATAAAGTTGCATTTTCTTTGCATCACTGTTGTCCTTGTATGGAACTGGTCTGTGTGCTGCACTTGTTTTAGCTAGCAAAAGCATCTTTTTTTTTAGTACAGCTTGTGCATGGAAACTGTAGTATTGCTTCTATCATGACAGCTGCCTGTTACTTGTACTATAGTTTGCCTGTGCAATGACTTTTGTACTTCTCTAAAACATTACAGCTTCCTAAGTAAGGCAAATGTTGGGAAGCAGAGGGACTTCAAGAACTTAACATAACCTTGTAGATACTCAGTTTCATATTTCATGTACAAAAGTGCTAGTGAGAGCATATGGCTGGATCTTGAGGTTCATTTGTGTGCACTCTTGTGCAAATCACACGCTGGATGAAGACAATGTGCTCATGCCAGTAGCTTTCACGCACATATGAGACGGAATATACGTTATAATGGTGCCTGGAACATTGAGGCGTTGGAATCCGTCGGGGAAGCAGCAGCGGTTGGAATCGTATGACCGCGTCGCCCAACAGTGCCCTTTGTGCAGACACTCGTGTCGTGATGCCCAGCATGGCTGGAGGCTTGTGCCCACTTGGTGTGCAGCTACTTCCGCCGCTATAATGCTGCCAACCCTTTCAGTGGCAGCAGTTGCCAAAGCAGAAGCTTCTTTCTTTTTTTTCAATGCGTTAGCATTAGTGTCTTGGCACATGTGCTGACCTTGGACGGGTTTGGAGCACACATATATAAAGTTTGAAAATATCACCTCGGGATGGCGCCACAGCCCCACTGGCCGTAGAAACTGGCTAGGAAACACCTTTTGCAAGCGCTGACAGGTGGCGACAGGGTGCATATTTCGAGAGGCTTGGCAATAGGATGCATAGCAATGAAGGCCGCACTGGATTTGCTGGTTATGCGGAGCACAAGTTCGTCCACTTCTTCCTCAGGGGTTGCGATGTCAGAATGCCGACCTCTTATTGGCTGATTTAAAGAATATTGCGTAGGTGTCAAGCCACCTTGCATTGAGGTCTACCCACTATCCTTTCAATCGAAGCCAATCTGAACTTGACGTCGTTCTGACATCGCCGGAACTCCTGTGCAAGAAGTAGACAACTTGCTCCTCGCATAGGGAGAGGAGCAATGCCAGTATGCAACATGTAGCAACTGACGTGTGGCGGAAGCGACGTTTCCCCTTCGCCAATTTCAGCGCCGTGCAGTGGGAGACAGCGGGTGCTAAGGGCAGAAATATATTAGGAAAACTCAATTTTGAAATCATGTTTTTTGAAGATTGGCTAGCACTTATCTTGTCTTGAAGGATTTTTGTTAAACAAGTCTCTCTTGTCTTGAAAACAAAGTAAAATGGGTCTGTGGATGTTTCTCTTATTATTTCTAAGTGAATGATTTACACACTTTACTATTTTATGGAAGCCATATCTCCGCTTTCACGTATCCAGTCTTCATAGTTTTTTCTTCTTCTGGTAGCTTTATGTGTGACATATGCAATAAGGGCTGTACATATATTAAATATGGTATTGACTTTTCTTCAGGTGCCTTTTAGGCATCCTGCAATAAATTATTGTGAAACCAATTGAGGAGTGTCTTAAAACTTATAAATCATCCTAGAGCTTTCATTTATGCCTTATTGGATTCCACAGACCTTTCGACTAATGTTTATTTTCTGCTTTCAGTATTTCAATTTGTCTTAATCCTTCCCATAATCTGTGGTGATTAAATTTTAAATATTAACAAAACTGAATAGGTTACATCAAACCAAGTACATATTTGTAGTCGGATTTCAAGGGCAGACAAGCTATGTAAATTTAATTTGAAGTTGGATAGGTTATACAAAATAAGTTTGACGACGCCTAAGCACTTCGTACGAGCTGTGAATGCAAAAGCATGAACATCATTCTTCCATTCCCTTAGTGTGTCTGCGGTGCAGTGGCGTAAACTGCCACGTTTTGCCGGCCAACGGTCGAGCGCGCGCCGAGCTCGGTCGTGCAGCCTCTTTGAAGTTTGCCCGTGCGAGCTCTGCGGCCAGTCCCGCACCTTTCACCAGCGGCCAGGCCGCTGCGTGCACTGCACCACCATGGGGAGGGCTTCTCTGGTGGCGTTCCTTGGAACTACGCCGCACGAGAGCCAGTAAGAGCCTCGTTCCTTGATGACACGCACCAGCCAATGGGAGCCTATCCATCAGATTGCTACTGGCGACATTGGGGCAGGGCAAGGTGCCACTTGGCGCGGCTTCAAAGCTTATGTCATCGGTTCGCTCCATGGGACCAGTTAACGCTTTCGCACTAAAAAGCTCTAGAAGCAGTGTTGCCCTTTAACCCAGCCCGGCCCCGTTCATACCGCTTTGCAGTGACAGTGTGCGGATAGCACGTTACAAAATATTCACCCACCTTGGACCACCCGTACATGCCGGATCGCAGCACCCTGCCGGCGACCCAAGTATGTGCTAGCCCCGCCGTCCACCATTGCACCTCAATTGCTAGGTGTTACGTCATGCCGTCGCACTGTATAACCAGCCAATTCCGTGCGGCTGCCGTCACACTCATCTATGGGGCGCCATAAATCAAAAGGTTCAATTTAATATTGATCGTAAAAATCGACGCCTGCACATAACGAGCTCAGACCATAGGCAAAGTAATATTTTAGAGCTACATCTTGCCTCACTAAATTCCGAGACATAGCTTCGTTTCTGCAATAAGTTAAAACACCGCTCTCAACATTTTCTACTATGGTCTTCGATGCGGACGACCAAGTTAGCCGGTGATGATGCTTTGATCCGTCCCACTCTAACTGGGCAGTTATGCATCTGTTCTCCAAGTCGGTAGACTTTATTGTTCCCACTTATCTTTGGCATTTCACCAATTTTCTAGTCTTTGTTTTGTGGTGTTGATGATCCACCTCTCTGTAACCTAACCTTTATTGCGTGCCGATTGTTCCAAGCCCAGCGCCGGCGGTAGCATCGGAATCGACGCAGCTATGGCGAGTCTTGGCGGTCCAGCCTGCCCTCTACTGTTTCGGTGGGGCCTAAATCCACCGGATAAGCTACGCTCATTTCTGTGCTCGACTCCCCGATAGTCTTGTGGGCACACCAGTTGTGCTTGGTGCAGACGGGTGCGAATGGCGATCGCTGCAATTCAAGAAGCTCGGGCAATATTGCCTCGCTCCATTGCAAACCGGCTTTAGCCTCAGACTTGTGGAAAAGTGTTTCCGGCGATTTCAGATACAGCTTCGGACAAGTGATAACCGCGATTTCAAGCACCAGAATGGACGACTTGTCGTTACTTCGATGCACAGCTTATATGGCACCTTTACAGTTGCCGACATAACGAGAATGGCGGGGCGCATTTTTCGAATGCTCGACGTTCAGCCCGTGCTTCATGCCTTTTGCCGTGCATTGACTGTGCGTGCACGTTTGAGGTGCTGAAGGCGTAGTCAGAAGTAGGAAACTCTCGCCCAAGGCTGTGCAGCTGAAGCTCTTCCCTGCTGTTCTCACCTTTTTGGCGACCATGACGGGGCCCTCGCTCGTACACGTGCCGTGCCTTTTTCCGCTTGGGCGTTGGGATGAGGAGTTCGAGGCCAAATGGCCGGTGGTTCAGTCTTCTCAGTTGCAAACTCCACACTGCGCTATTGAATCGTCACGGCGAACCGTTGCTCATAGACCATCCTAAAAACTGCTTTCTGTGTACTCCCAGCTTTGTCTACTGGGCTGTGGAACGGATTCGGAGCATGCACATTATTTGTCGTCTGCTAAAGATTGGATGCCACGCATGTGTCCACAGCACTCCAGCTCAAACCTCGAGCAAAAGCCGGCTGCCCAGGCTGTTGCAGTAAAGTTGTGCTAGCGGCGCCATACTCCCGACAAGTGTAGATTGACTTTAGACGAGTGCAGCAAATGAACGATGATGTCGTCTGCTGCTCTTGACATTTTCGTTTTGCTTATAGGGAGATGGTGCCACAAGCGCAACTAAGATATACCCTCGATAAAAGTATTATCTAGTTATATTCAGGATTCAGGTGCCGATTTCAGAGGCAAGATACTCGATCCATAACACTTTATTTGAGGCAACCCAAAGGAAATGCAGACTGTTGCTGCATAAGTTCTCCTTTCTTTAAAGTCATTCGGCGCCACTTCAGAAAATGCGCAAGATGATGCTCACGCCCAACCATACACACAGAACTAAGCAATGCATTGCTAGCCATCTCTCTGCCGTGTTTGTAGGTCTCCCAGCAATCGCAGCTTGGGTCAACCGACACCCAAAGTCCACCTGCCCGGGGGCATCTTAGTAAATGATTGGAACAGAAAAGGTAAGCAGAAACGGACTAATTGCCATCAAGAGACCAGAACTTCTGTGAACAGTGAGGAACAGGGGAGCAAGTATATGGGTTCTTCGCAAATATTTTCATGTAAACAGCATTTTGCGGGGCTACCCCTTGCACCCAAGTTTCTCAGTGCTCCGTGAACAGCTTAACGCGGAAGTATAAACTTTTACCCCAAGGGGTTTGTGAAAGTGAGATCGGGTAGGTGTGGAGGCCGAGCTGATTAATTCAATAAAAACCTGTCGTGGCGGTATGCACATGTAGGACTAAATGTCGATTACCATTGCCTCTCCATGAAGTCAGCATTCCTTATATTAAGATGTATTCCGTCGAGTGCTAATAACAGTTAACAAACATTAAATGCAACTTGTAGGCTTTTCATATCACACTGGCTGACCCCTAAGCTGAAGTCTAGTCTTCTCGACTCAAATTATTATATAAACCACTGCAAAGCAGCAAGGCTACTTTTCAGTCACTTTTCCTAACCTTTCAGTTTCGCACTTTGACCAGTAAGCATGTTACTTTGCAGTCACAAAATAAATGAAACTAGTACAACTCTAGTTTCATGATGTAACAATAAAGCAGTTCAGTGCCAAAGACAGATATCGTAGCAGACACAGTGTCCATGACTATGCTAAGCTCTTAAAGCACCTAGCAGCCAAAACTATGGAACATAAAAAAAGTGATAGAACGTTTAACTGCAGTCACCAAATGATGAATGAAGAAGGGGCACATATAATGATAACTATTGCTGACATTCATTCATATAGCCTCTAATCCATAGATACCCACAGATATCCATTGATACAATACTGAAGTGCAACATAGGTGTGCTTCATACACTCGAGGATGTCGCTGGCGGAAGAAAACAAATGATACCTTTCACTTTGGTTTCTTCCAACGCCATTTCAATTGCCAACGACTGAACAGCAGCAACCCCCAGGTGACGTACCTGGAAAGCCACTATCCCTCGAATTGTATGACTCGTATTCCTTGATGAGGCATTCAATCACGCAAAAAAACATTCCTAACAACATGCACGGTAACCACTTTACATCTCCAAACGTCTGCACGCACACATACTTGCTTCCAACACGTTGCAAACAGAGCCTAGAGTATGCACCCAGCCATAACAACCACATATACCCAGACATACATTGTCTCCAGTCTAAACGACGAAGACCACGACAGCTCTGAATGGACAGGAGGGGAGAAAAAACAAGTTGCTAAAAATGGAACACCCAAGGGCGATACACGTGCACAAACACTTTCTAGCCGCATAAACTAGCCTTGGTCGGTCCCTCTCGTTGAGCCCGCTCCACGGAGGAGAAGCGAGCTCTTCACGTACTGGGCAACGACAACACAAAATTCTGTCCTTTTTCTCTCTGTGCTGGAACCATGTCCAACTTCCTTTGGCAGTTCCTTCACAAAGGCACAGTTCCACAAAAAGGAAAATAGGAAAGAAGAACGGCAGGGGAACCGCGGGGTCAGGCAGACCGCACGAGGACGGGTCGGGGTGCACGGACAACGGACGGGGGAGGCGTGGCCTCTGGCAGAGTCTCAAGAGTGCTCGGCAACCGCGGCCTGGTGCTTCTGGTTGATCCGCTCTCTCAGGGACTGCAGGCGCGTCAACAGTGTGCTGTACTGGAAGATGCCCCGGGGCTCTCCGAACGGGTCCTGTGGCAATTTTACGGCAACAGCTATATGGGGACTTCCCAGCTGCATTCGTGGTGTCGGCATTGCACCAGGCGTAAAGCTTTGTTTCGCGTGCACCGCCCCGTGACGTCGGGGAAAAGGCGTGCGCACTTGGCTCTTGCCGGGCCGTTGTGTGTTCTACTTCTACGGTTGGCAGAGCACATCTCTACACATTCCTCGCTGTAAAACTCGGTTTGCATGTAAATACTGACAGATGTAAACCAATTCGCCACTTGTAACGGTACCCGTCTCAACTTAGACTTTGACATGGATGTTGACTTGTGCGCATAATGTCCCTTTCCTTCATACTTTTCTTTCTGTCGCTTCTTCTTACACTGTGGAGGAAAACTGTCTATAACGCTTGTAATGAAATCTCAGACACGCTGCCCGTCTTCTCTCAAACGTTCCTTATTATCCCAAGATATGCCTGTGCAAAACGGGATATATGTTACCGTGGCACATTCCTTAACTCTTTCCTGACCGCGACCATAGGTCATCGATTACCGGTGGTCGATGGTTTCCAAGCGCCGTTGAGAAATTAAAGTTAGTGAGGACAATTATGCACCATAATCTCATGGATAGCCAAAGAACTGTAGCTTCGGTTTCAACATAGGTTTGAGCTTTTATCACAAGCAGGTGGGCTGTCAAAAATGGTTCTGGGAACGGTGGTTGCACTTGTCGACCGTGGCTAGGTGCTTGCATCACTCTTCGTAACAAAGATGGCATCATTTATATACAGTATAGACCACTTACAACATAACCGCTTATAGTGCAGGACCGGGTATAACGCGGTTTTTTTGAACCACCGGTTCGCCTCCCATAGAACTCCATGTAATTACATATCGCTTAAAATGCAGGCGCACGAAGGGAAATACCGGTTATAGTGCGGTTTTGGGCACAGCCCACCGACCGCGCCGACGACCGGAGCAGCGAGCACGCTTCCCTGTGCGACAGTAGATAACGGCGCTGACGGCGCGAGCAAGGAGGTGTTGGCACGAGTCGCAAGGGGCACTCGCGGGGAGAAGCGGTGAGAGAGGCTGCAGTTGTCGTAGCGACGGAGGGACGCACGCACGTGTCGTTCACGTGCGTGCGTCCCTCCGCTGCGTTGGAAACAAAGAAACAAACCACCACAACGACAGACCAATCGCAGGTCGAGGAGAAATGTTCGCGCGCGTTACATGCCGGTCGCGGGCCGGCTGCTGCTATCCGCAAACATGGCGTCGGTTGTGATCGTCGTCGTAAACGGCGTTCATCTCATCGTTCTGCGTAAAAGCGCTATCCTCGACTGAATTTTCGTTGTGTGTCGCTATGATAACCCAGCACGTACTAGAAGGGAAGATCCACCTACTCGTGCGGCGATGTCGTGGCGGTGCTCTCAAGACGGCAGAAACGCCCGTGTCGTCGTGTTTGTTTACTTCGACTACAGTGGTGCTTTCTAAGCATTTGTGTCCTCGAACATCGCCCGGATTTCTTATTTGGCGCATTTCATGTGTGTGCTCAAGTTCAAGGTATTACTGACGCGTACCGTATGAAGGATACGAATTTTCACGCGTTTTCATCTCCGGAGAAAAGTGATTAGGGTTAGGAATCCTGAACGCTCGCAATGTCCGTCCACAGCCCGCGACGCCGTTAAAATGCCACGCCAGAAAAAATGCGCTAATTTCTTTGAAAATGTGTGACACACTTGAGACAGAACTGTACTAGTCTGGTGAAATAAAGACTGCCCTTAAACTAAGCTTTATTTTTCATCTAACATAAAATAAATTCTTTTACAAAGGTAAGTTGTCTCATGGCATGTATTTTGGCCTGAAAAATGGATGTTTTGGTAATAGTAGCGCGGTACCGCTTATAGTGCGGATTTTCGCGACTCCCGAGACATACGTTATGTGCGGTCTACATTGTAATCCAACTGCACTGTGGCATATTATTTCGACCTCAAGAGCTCTGAGGATACTTCAAATGATGTTATAGGCGTCACCTGACAGGTCGTTTGTAAGCATTACTATAATTTACAATGCTCTCCTGAGTCGGCTAGCATGTTTTATGTTCTCAACAACGCAGACAGAAATGCTAAATACGAAGAAAGTGCAATCAAGGCTATGACAACAAACAAACAAAACCAAACAACAAAACCAAAACCAAAGAAAGTATTCTACTGGGGATGTGAGGAGTGCTATCTGTGTTTCACCAATATAAGCATTCCTTCGTTGAAAAGCACACGTGTTACGGAGGCCAACTCTCCGACGAATCACACATAGAAAATGTCAATTAGAGAGCACTAACTTTCAGAAGTAATAGCCATAAGTGTGGAGCACATTTTGTATATTCTGAATACTCCTTTTGTTGTTTAATTTTACACAGTTGAAGCTTTGGCGGTTATATGCTTTCCGCACATACATTGTATTTTCAAAACTTTAAAATATTTTTTCCACATTATACCAACCAGTTTCTTTAGAAAGAACAACAAATTGGCCCTTTTAAAATTGCTACTTTTCCTATGGTCAGGAAGGAGCCACTAACAGAGAGCAACAAGCTCAAACGGCTAAATTACATAAGGCAGGGTTGCGTAATCGGATACCCATTGTAGACTACCTAATAAACCGAAAACTCCGGCGGCATGGGGGCAAAAAATTATTGCAGAGCCCCCGGTGAGCCTGAAGCCTATGCTAGCAGATGAAAGGCGGGTTCACACACTTGCGACTGTTTACGACTCTGTGCCCCAAGACCTTTCAAAATCTCTTACAACGAGAAAACACACTGCTGCCGTCTAACGAGTAGCTGTGGAACACTCATAGTTTCCGTATATCTCCCACTCTTTTCGTTCGGGCGTTATTCTTTCTTTTGCTCGAAAAAAACTTCTGACAACATTATAAAGAACCATTTTTTGTAGATAGTATATAGTACATACATTTGACCTCACAAATACCGCAAAACCTTCCCTTAGTGAAATGCAGTTCCAGGGTCACCTCAAACACAGCGTCGGCGTGTTTTCCCGTCTTAAGAGGTTGCAAGAACTTGGTTCCAGGAAATGCTAGTGTGTCAAAAGCCTTTTAAACTACTTCTTCATAATGCATCGGCTCTGACTAAATTAAATCTCCGTACGATCGCCCAATGAAAAAGAGTGGCCACAATTTTTCACCGTCTTAAACATTTGCAATATGTATATAATTTTATCGGTGATCATTACATCGCCCTCAGTTTCTTTTCTATTAGGTAGATTTGTTTTGTGCATGCTTGGCTCCTGGGGACGTGCTGCACACCTATTTCCTGCCTTTATAGTAGTTTTTATGTGAAAAAAAGTTCTCCGAGCACAGAAACGAGCCAGTGCAAAAGCATTGTCAGGCACATAGCAAAAACAAAATCAAAAGTGTACAACAAAGTTCTACTTACGGCCATCTGTGTTCCTGACAGATGCATCTTCTTTTTTACGATTGCCTCATACGCGTCGTAAAATTCTTGGAAGGACTTCTCCACCACGTCCCTGCATGCAGCAAGTGGTCAACAATTGTGTCAACCGAGCTACAGTTTGCGAACAGAACTGTCGTCGGCTCAAAGGAGGGTAAAAATACGGATTAGATAAGAAGCTTCAAGTTTCTACCCCCTTTTCCAAAAAAAGTACAAGGGCAGTAGAAAAACGGGGACATGTTACTGTACTGCATGCCAAAGAAAACACTCCTGACAGCCATGCCATGTTCCATCTGAAACTCACTTCACATTTAGAGAATGCAGTTGAATGCCAATAGCTTAGACAAAAAAAGCAGGGACGCGTTTCTGCGGTGCTTTGCTGCAAACTATGTGGAAATGCAATAGCACTGCTCGTCTCCTATGAAGGCATTGCATTTATAGAAGGCGATGCTTTTGTGAAACACTATCACCCTCACCTTGGCTTCATAAAGGCCTGTTTTGTTATGCCAAGAGGCCATAGCAGAACGAGCCCGCCTTATTTAACTATCCCTAGCCAAACGTCGCTCTCCCTCCTCCGCCTTTCTCTTTGGCGCATCAAGCACGGTCATACCCGGCACGTCACTGCACGCTGCACTACTAGGGGCTCTGGCAGTTACGCAGAGACAATGTAACCGACCCTTTGAAATTTGGCCGACTTTCGGACCAAGTGCCTGAGGATTCTGCGATTTAATCAAATTTGTTTGTGCGATTACTGCACTGTTTGCAGTCTTCAACTCAGGAGTTCCGTCGTGCCAGTTTTCACGGCAGTCTGCAAACCCACTATACTCGTCGTCCCAAACAGTCGGCACGTTCGGTCGCTGGAATTTGATTCCATCATCTAGGTCAGCCCTAGCCTGGAAGGAAAACTGCCAGTACATTCCTTTTACAGCGAAGCTGTTTATGGCTAGGGTTCCGTGGATTTTTCGTGTGCAGCGACTAAAAACTCTATGCTCACACCGCCACATGTGTACGCCTTCCCCGTATGAAAGATTCCAAGTAAATAACCAAAGCATTGACAAACTCGCGTGCGAGATGCCATTTGTTTTAGGCTTTCGCTTTAGAACACTTAATGCTGCAAATGCCGGCATGTGCAGCGCGTGGAACACCATTCCCTGCATTCTCCTTGATGCTTGGGTAATTTAGCAACACAGTATAGACCACTTACAACGTAACCGCTTATAGTGCAGGACCGGGTATAACGCGGCTTTTTTAAACCACCGGTTCGCCTCTTACAAAACTCCATGTAATTACATACCGCCTAAAATGCAGGCATGCGAAGGGAAATACCGGTTATAGTGCGGTTTCTGGAACAGCCCGCCGACCGACCAGCGCAGCGAGCACGCTTCCCTGTGCGACACTAGATAACGGTGCTAGCCGCAAGCGGCACTCGCGGGGCAAGGAGGTTGCTCGAAGAAGCGGGGAGAAGCGAAGAGAGAGGCTTCAGCTGCCATAGCGACAGAGGGACGCACGCACGTGTCGTTCATGTGCGTGCGTGCGTGCATTCCTCCGCTGCGTTGTAGAGGAGGCGCTGGTTGGAAACAAGCCAGCCGCAATGACAGACCAATTGCAGGTCGAGGAGAAGTGTTCGTGCGCGTCGCATGCCGGTCGCGGGCCGGTTTCTTCTATCCGCAAACATGGCGTCGGTTGTGATCGTCGACATAGACGGCGTGGTGAAAGTCCATTGTTCCGCGTAAAAGCGCTATCCTTGACTGTGAATTTTCGTTGTGTCACTATGATAACCCAGCACGTACTAGAAGAGAAGGTTCACCTACTTGTGCGGCGATGTCATGGCGGCACTCTCAAGATGGCAGAAACGCCCGTGTCGTCGTGTTTGTTTACTTCGACTACATATAAAGGATGCGAATTTTCAAGCGTTTTGATCACCGGAGAAAAGTAATTAGGGCTAGCAATCCTCAACGCTCGCAACGTCCGTCCGCAACCCGCGACGCCGTTAAAAAGTTGCGCCAGGCAAAAGTCGCTCATTTCTTTCAAAATGTGTGACACACTTGAGAGAGAAGTGTACTAGTCTGGTGAAATAAAGACTTTTCTCAAACTAAGCTTTATTTTTCATCTAACATAAAATAAACTCTTTTACAGAGGCAAGTTGTATGATGGCATGTATTTTGGCCTGAAAAATTGATGTTTTGGTTATAGCGTGGTACCGCTTATAGTGCAGATTTTCGCGACTCCCGCGACATACGTTATATGCGGTCTACACTGTAGGTCTATTGAGTAATAAGTAATCAATAGGCACCATTTTCAAGATCAGTAAACTCTCAGCTAGATAATAAAGGTTTCTCAAAGATTTGCCGCTGTGCGACCCGTGTCGGCCAAGTCTATGCTCGCACCGCCCTCTCTTTGTCGTCGTTCCAAGCCGCTACATGTCTAGTTTCCTTTCCTTCCGCTCTCCCGGGGTGGCAGTCCCGTCGCTCGTGTCTAGTTTCCTCCTGCTTCTCGGGGCGGGTCTGTGTCGTGTGCTAAGCAGCTTTGCTGGTCATCCACCTTCGCTGAGTGGAATGGCTCATGATTTTTTTCTTTCTTTGGCTTGCATCTCGTGTAAGAGAGGTATATGCACTGTTCCCCAAAGAGCCTGGGCTTATTCCTTAGCTGCAAAATTTCAGTATCTTTTTTTTTAGGCAGTGCAAGTTATCCCTTTGTGGGACGAGGCATATTTTTTATACGGTTTAAAGAATACTTATGAGAACCCTGATAGAAGTGCAATTCAGAAGTCTTTTGAAACAAATTACAACAAAATAAGGGCAGCTGTTTAATGGAAAAAAGTGGGACATACTTGTCCCATTGGCAGATTCAGTACTTTACAAAAGTGGGACATCCGTGTCCCAGTGTCCTTTTGGAGGGTTATACCTCAGCTAGGTAGCAGAATTTTCTGCATGAAATGGGTCGAAACAGGCGGTGCAAAGCGGGATGACACAAGTCATACACACAAAACTAGTGCAGGTCTCGTTTTTCGCGCTTCAGCACCACCGGCACCTTCTCCTCTTGGGCACCTTCAGAGGATTGTGGCCCTTTCCCCTAAACCGTAGCTCATTGCAGACGCCCACCATATTTTGTCCATTTCTAGCCCCTTTCTTGTTTGCTCGAAATGGCCCAACACTCTGCGTGTGCCTGAACGTGTTTCCATTAATCAGCTGTCGACCCAGAACGAGGTGAAACCACAGGAATGTGATCTCACTGTGTGCCCTGATCTGGAGAAATGCGTTTATTGTGGCGGCGTCGAAGAGGAAATTGAATATTCGGGGCCACCATTTTTTCGACCGCCTGTCAACCGGGTACGAACTTAGCCTCTGATCTAACCTGCCTACTGAGCCCATACAGCTGTTGTAGTCAGCGATTGCCTTTGGGCATACCACGCCAACAGAAGATCCATTGCTAAGTCTTCGTTCTATTTCTGTTGTGTCGCTGGGATCATAAAAATTTGACAAGACGTGCATGTCCTTTGTGTCATGTCACAGGTAAGCAGTAACCTGCGCCTTTGTCCGTCATAGAAATTCTCCTTTATGCAGTTTGTTGTTTCTCTTCAGCTCCTCAGGAAGATCTTCTCCGTTTGTTTGGGCGGTCCCTACAGCAAGGATAGCCATGTCTGCAAGATCTTCCAACAGGCGCGTGGACGTGAAATAGTCATCAGAATACAACTGAGAGCCAGGCTCCATCTCTTCCGATAACGACAGCACGACATGGTCTCCTAGAGTCTTGTTGGCAGGCCGCTTTGCTTTCTTTCCTTCATACACTTCAAACCGTAGCAAATAACCCGTTTCCGAGTCTGCTCTTGCCCACACTTTGTATCCTCTCTTGATTGGCTTCATGGGCTGGAACTGCTTTATCGATTACCTTCCCTTGAATCGGATCATGCACTCGTCAACCGCTTGATGCGCAGATGGTGTGTACTCTCTTTGAAAACGGGTGTTCAATGCGTCCAGGAGAGGGCGAACCTAAGCAAGCCTGTCAAATCCATCTTCTCCATTCTTTTTTGTTTTGTTGTTGTCGCTCATGTGGAGGCAGTTCATAATGGATTGGAAGCGCTTGAATGACATTACCTTCAATATTTCTGGTGCGTTGAGGAAACCATTGAAGCTCCAGTAGTGGTACAACTGGTGCCTTGGATTTGCTCATAAGTATCAGCACCCCCAAGTATGCACGCAGTTCATCTGTCGTCAGTTTTTTCCACTTTCTTCGGCACGTTTGCTCCGCATAACGGTGTGTTTCTTCAACTAGCATGTGCATGACAGGGTCGTCAAAGTAGAGGGCGAAGGCATCTGCTGGCTTTCTCGGAGGCTTTGCGGAATACTGCGGATCCCAAGTTTTGGGATTTTTTACCACATTCGTTGGCTCACTGGTTCACCATGTACCCGGGACCTCGTCTTCTAGATCGGACACACCTTCCGCATCTTCATTGCATGCTTTTGGGTCTTTCTTCTTTTTCTTCTTTGTCTTTCTTTTACTGTAGGATGCCCTACGTTTTCGCTTACTAGCTGATGGTGTATCCCTGCTAGTTGATGGAGCGCCTGTGTCTTCCTCGCTTGAATCAGAAGGGGCCAGCTCAGGGATGAACTCTTCCTCACTGCTGTCACCTTTTTCCTCACTATACTGTGGGTCGTCAGGAAGACTGTAGAAAAAAATCCAAGGCCTCTTTGGGTGTGAGGGAAGCTTTTCCTACAAAGATGATATCAAGTGCGACAAAGTGATCAAAATGCGGATGTTGCGCGATTTGGGGAAAATATTTTCTATTTTATGCTCAGTATACAACACAGCCAAGGTTTAGAAATGTCCGGTCGGGCGGTGATACCTTTATGTGGTGACACTCATCTGCCTTACAACGCACGCCTCGTGCGGGGCCGAGTCTAGGGATATTGCATCGCATGGTTTACCAAAGGAGAAAGACGAGGGGCAGTGGCGCACAAATTAGGCTGTCCTGTTTTGCACAAACACACGAAGCGCGCAACACTGTGTCTACATAAACGTCCGCCTCCACCATTTTCCCCTACCCATAAACTGTACGAGAAAACCCTACAAAGCTCCGGCTCCCTTCCCTCTCCCCTCGCTTGACCACACTAGCCAAACTAAACCAACTAACATGAAATCTGACCCGCAAGCAAAGCGTATAAGCACTGAAGCTCCCGCGCGAGCCGCGCGGCGCAAGACGGATATGAGGCGCGCGACGCAAGCTGGACGTAATATGGCGAAGCCCACCTCATAGAAAGTCAACACCCGCTACCAACGCTACTGGAGCGAGTGCGTGAATTCGTCTGGGCATCCCACTTGCGTGAGTGCGTGCAAATGATCTGCGAAACCGATTCACATGTCCGCACCATCAGCTTTGACAACCGAAAATACAAGAATAACAATTAGGGTTAGCGAAATGGGCACCTGTTTTATGAGTTACTACTTTTCGACAAACTTTTCCCACCATCTCTAGCTTCAATTATTGAATGCATGCATTGACTGCAGACTAGACACCCTTCCCTGAATGCCAAAAAAGGACACCCTTACCGGGCATCTTGGAGAATATATTGATACGATCGCACACGAGGAAGATTTGGAAGACGTGCTGGCAAAAACAACATAATTAAAGAACTCGCACCAATGCCACCATGTGGTCAACTTGCACAAAGTAATTGTCAGGAGAGTTGTTGAAACCTTACGATAGATGGCAGCACAAAATGAGTGGGCTGCATGCGTCCCGTTGACGTTGGCGGACAGTTTTGCGTAAATTACAAAGTGGGACACATATATCCCGTTCTGTCACAAAGGGTTATGCAAAATAATAATATAGTCTACACTATATTGCGTAAGCATTTCGCATATTAAATGAGTCATCGAGGGAATTCAAAATAAAAAAATAAGCTAACATGGACCTTTGTTAGTAAAAAGCATCCCTTTGTCCGGTGATGAACAAGACTCCTTGTCACGTGACGTGGGGAGACAAAGGAGGATAGATTTGGCGGCTTCCGAGCTCACCTGAGCGGGGGTGGACAGTCCGTGTTGCCTGAAAGACAGGCCTCAACCATGCTGCAGACAGCCACCCTGATGGTCTCATGCTGAATGATGTCGTTGTACCGGCTGGAATCCCCCGGGTTACGCTCCTGAACGAGAAAGCCAAATTAAAAACATCCCCAGAACTACACCACCAGACCAACGGCAGAAAGAGACTCCTGAAAGGTAAGAAGACTCAATCGCCATACACAGAAACAAGATTGCAGTGGTGTTTCAATCTATCTATCATACTGTCATAAGCAGAATTGTGTTCTAAGGGGAATGCAGAGGACACTAATTCCCGTTTCGACCTTCCAAGCGTGCGATGCCGTGTCTAATGTCCCCATATTCTCTTTTTGTACCGTGTTAGAGTGCAGCTCTTAGGCGCCTGTTTCCGGCTTGAGCAGCGTCGGCATAACCGTGTGTGGCATTACGGGACATTTCCCCACTAAAAGTAGCAGGGAAATTTTCCCGCTAAACTTAGCAGGAATATTTTCCACTAAATTAGGAGAAAACTTTTCCCCGCTAAATATGGCAGGAATGTTTCATCGCTAAATTTAGCGGGGAAATATTCGCGCTATATTTAGCGGGAAATTTAGCAAAATTTCCCTGCTCAATTTAGCAGTGAATCTAAATGGGAGGGGAGCAGGAGAGGAGGAGAGGAGCGTACGGAGGGGGAGGAGGGGCATATCCTCCTCTCCTCCTTTTCAAGAGCTGTGCTCTAATTCGGCATTACAGAGTCTTTAATTTTCTGTTTTCTTTCTTAATTTTTTTAAACTTTCACAGCTGGCAAAGCCTTCTCAAACTGTTTTAAAATCTCTAGCTTCCGTTTTTTTTTTTTTTTTCACAGTTGCATTGTGCGGTTAGTAGCAGAGCTCTGGGTGGAGGCGTTTGGCAGCTGGCCAATTCTCTTCCAGCATGGCATACTTCACTTTTCAAGGTTAAATCAGGATTAGCTTCAATAAGACTGAAATTCTGCAATGTCAGCACTTGTACATAAAGTACTGCTGATGCTAGCCTAAAGAGATGCCCTAAACCATTATATATAGGATTAGCATTCGTAATAGGGGATACAGCAAAAGTCCCACGCATATACGTATAACTGAATATCGTAATATCACGAGTCATCAGCCCCTCTGAAATTCATAAAAAGAAGGTGGGGTAGGCGATTACGAAGAATGCATAAAGCGACACTTCTCCGCCATATAAGGTGCGGCAATCCACTTTCGTTTGTTTTTCTTCTGCCTGGTGGGGAGAAGTTTATTTTTGTCAAAGTCCACTTCTGTCCTTCACCGAGGCCTAGAGCATGCTCATCATGTGCCCTGCTGGCTGTCAGTCAATCGCTCAAAGCCTCCGCTACTGTTCAACTCCCAAAAACGGGGAAGAGAAGGATTCGAGGGTGCGGCAGAACAGATGCTAAGGCACACGATTGACAGGTGGCGTTTGACGTCACGTCTGACGAGCACCGACGTCGCAGAAAAGTAAAGGAGGCAAGGAGAAAAGCTCTGATGTTTGCCTGGTGGATGTCCAAACAGAAAACAGACTGTCGGACTTCAACTTTCTCTTCATGTTGTGGAGGAGTGTCCCTTTATGCGTTCTGAAGTATCGTGTTTGGACACCCCTTAAACAGAAAAAGTTCAGAAAAGATAAAATTTATTCGATTTTGCAGAATATTGTTATCGAAATAATTATAAATTAGGTGCATAACCCTTTTCATTGGCACCTACTCCAGGAATTCCATCCTGCATCTAACAAAGAAACATTTTGGGTATTGCATTAGTTTTCTAATGACCGATTTAACTAAACAATCACGTTTCTCCCCGATAGAAATCACTCCAATTACCTTCATAATTATTGTATAGAGACAAACTTTGCATAGCATTCTTTATAGTGACAAATGGGTTTTAGCTCAGCCGGTGGCTTGACTTTGATACTGCCACTTTGCATTATGTGGGGCTTTATAAACGAGTCTTGAGCTGATGATGATACGTTTCTATGGATACACAAACAACCAATCTCCTATTGAGCCGGTCAGACTGAGCTGCAATTATATATACCTTGCATGGCAGTCCGACCGACGAAATTGAAGCTCCGTATTTTAAGTTACGAGATATGGGAATCAAAGACAGCTGGCATATCAAGTGCCTCAGCTGTGGCTACTGCAAGAAACATAATGGTACGAGTCTCAAGAGCGACTGGTCGAAGCAAGCTTCCCAACCTGGTCGTAGCCAGGCTCGTTGTAGTAGGGGTTCTCGTTTAGCAGCGACTGTATGGAGATCAGCACGCTGGCCAAACTCTGGGCTGGGCTCCATGCCGGCCCGGTCCATGTCCTGAAACGGGCCGTCAGTGAGCACGTTGGCACTCCTTGCTCGTTTGAGAGAGTGACAAACCAAGAATATTTGTCTGATTTGTTGAATACTAGTTCTGTACAAATAGCCAAATAACGCACACAGTCAGGATTGTCTTTTTGGGGGTTGAGAGTTGAGACATTCTCCACAAATCTTGCCGCTCCTGCTTCAGCATGTCAAAGACGTGCTGGCCAAAAATTGGTAAGACATGGAGACCCAGGACATACTTTTGGGTGCAAATAAACTTTTAGTCTCACTCTCAACTGCAAATGTTAGGTGCCATGCCACCTATATAGCCAAATAAGAAGCCTTCAGGATGCCCCGTTTTGCTGTTGCAGCTGAAAGTGTCACAAAATATGGCCTGTTGCAAATGTAATGCTGGGCTATCAATGGCTCCACACTGTTAATGAATGCTGATATCGCCACGTAAGTGCCACCGAAAATGGCAGATGGCCACATTTGCTACCATTACGCATGGCATTGGCAACACTGGAACAGGTTCATTTATTTGGCTTACATTTAGGCTAAGTGGTGCAAGCTACTGCCCGTTACAAAGGGTATAGCTATTAACATCCATCCATCCATCCATCCATCCATCCATCCATCAATTGCAGTGAAGTGGCACCCTGCCATGTAAATGTAAATTAGATGTTGCGATCACCGTGCATCTTGGTATTCGCTTCTGATTTTCAACATAGGTCTCATGTCTAGAATACCCTTTTAGTTCATTAGCATGTTTCGTGCTAAGGAATGAATATAATCTGGAAGGAAAAAGGAAAATAAATTGCGCAACAATCACACATGGTGATGCATTTCAACAGCTTCAGCTGTGCTGCTTATTCGTCAATATGACGATGATGATTGATTGACATTGCGCCGATCGTGCGTTATACGGTGATCTGGTATTGAAATAACGTTGCGTTGATTTAACATCGATAAATTGTTGATAAATAAACGATTTTAAAGCCGAGATGTGTTTTCCCGCCAAATTTAGCAGGGAAACTGGATTGGTGCAGAGGTCACATGACAAATTTTTCTATTATTGGGGGGGAGGGACCTAAATTTGTAGGTCTTGTGATGTCAGGTCACGCGATGCCAATTTTTCTGCTAAATTTAGCAAGGAATCTGAATTGGTGCATAGGTCACGTGACGTCAAATTTTCCGCTACGTTTAGCGGTCAGGTGACGTCAATTTTTCCGCAAAATTTAGTGAGAAAACTGAATTGGTGCATAAGTCATGCGACGTCAATTTTTCTGCTAAATTTAGCAGGGGAACTTTTCGTTTACGCTGACGCCATCGAAAAACTGGGGAACAGGCCACTAACAGCTGATGCTGTAAGAAGTACCTGAGAGTTAGTTACTTTAATTCTTTGTCCTTTACTTCATCTCGTTTGGGTGTGTTATGCCCATGTACTGGACAAGTGAACTTAAAAGACAAGGTTATTAAACAGGCGAGCTGGTTAACGTTACAAGTGACTCGAAACCGGAAACAAACAGACGGCAAGGGGACAAACACGTCTCAAACACAGCTGAATAGGTTTGATTCACACATGTTTTATATGTCGCCGTCTCACATGAACTTCACTGAATTTGCACATGTTCCCACAGCCGGGAAATGGATGGTGGGGTGTTGGCTGTTTGAACGTGCGCAAACTCGGTGGAGGTTGCGCAAAAGGGTGGCATATAAAACATGACGTGTGAATAAAATCTATTCAGGTGCGTTTGAGATGCATATCTGTCCCCTTGCCGTTCGTTCGTCTCCAGTTTAGAATCATGTGTAACTTGAACTCTATTTTTACTGTTTTTCCGAAAAAGCTTTATTTAGCAAAATGTAAACCGAAGAAAAAAAATTAGGCAGGAAAAGGAATGCAATCAGCTAAAAGCATTGTTTGACTTGTGTTTGCTTTCTATTTGGCACCATAAAACGAAGATGCGTTTTCTTCAGTTTCAATGTGTATGCTTGACACACACAGTCAGGATCAGCTATGCTTGCACATTTACAGAAAAAGTTGTGGGTACACCCGGTGCAACAAAGAAGGAATCGCTGGTGGCCTGACAACGAGGTAGCGCAGCTGCCAAGCACATCCATTTCCACCTGGCATAGGAGCAGCAAATGTAAGGGTTACAACGACGAAAAGGAGCAGAAAAACGTTGATTCAGGGAAAGCAACGATCATTATTTCCTCGTTCCTACCGAGAGCCTCAACATAAGAGGTCGGCAAACATTATTACGGGGGCCAACTTGATGCTCCTGGCTGTCAAATACACCCGAAAAATTTAAGCCTGTCTCGGTCGTAGCTGATAAACTCCGAGATGCACAAAATGTGTTTAAATTGAGCCGGGCACGTGCTGCGTGTGTGACGTCACGCTACTGCGACATTAACATCATATGAGCAACATGGCCTTTTTGGGGCTACGTTACTTCTATGACCTTCGCCCGCGTGTCGGTCGAGCGTAATGTCACTTCTCTCATGAAACCCCGCCCTAAACACTATTCTGTGTTAAAAGAAATATGTCTGCGGTTTTTAAGCTACAGGTACAAAAGAAACGTGCACCCAATGGCTTGGACGAGCGGTCAACGTGTGGCGTCTCACCCGAGTATGCTGAGGCACACCTTGCCGTTGCGGTAGAGGTTGGGGTTGAAGCGCACGCTCCCGTAATCCGTGGTCATGAAGCGCACCCGCGGTGGCTGGATCGGGTAGTCCGAGGGGCACTTGAGCAGGAAGTAGAAGAAGCCCCCCTCGTAGGGCGTGTCAAAGGGGCCCGTCACCAGCGCGTGGATCTGGAAACAAAGCACATGGTTCATGGTTCTGCCCGAGGGCTGCTTCGCACAAAAGCCCGAGGGCTGCTCCGCACAAAACGGTGCGAGTAACGGACAAATCTGTCCAGCCAATTTGGCTGCACCACCACTATGGCAATGTGAGAGCTATAGACCAGTGTCCGGAATCCTAGCCCCCAGCGATGAAATGAAAAATAATAATCTTAAACGCAGGCACTTGTGAAGAGAGAGGCTGAGCAAAAAACAAGATTTTTGCTTTTTACGGCACTCTTGGCATCAGTGCTGTCAGTTGTCAGAGCTTAAAGTCAGGGGGGTCTCAGAAGATCTCAGCCCCCTCAGCACCCCCCCCCCCCCCCCCCCCCCCCCCCCCATTTCGACAGGGAGTTGAGGATTAGGTCCAACCGTCACGCCCCTAGCGGCAAAGTTGAGAACTAAACCCATAGGTACAACATGAATTATTTGGGCATGTTTCTGACGCAGCATTCGGCTGCATCAGCCGAACGCCGACACAGCCGAACATTGCATCAGCGTGTCGATGTATGTGCATGTTATTAGTTTAAAGGCAAGCTGCTAGTCAAAATCCTTCAAAGTTTCTGTGCAAGTCATTAACTGAAATACTGTAGATACCTCGAGACTTGTTGGGCTTGAGGCTAAAAAGGATTGACATAAGCTCTACTTCAGAGAGAAGAGGAAGATAAGCCGAGTCTAAGACACTACTGTTTAAAGTACATGAATGTAGGTGTTGTCGTGCAATACCCGATACTCTAGAGAAAAAAATGTCCATCAGTAGAGAATTGCAAAGGAAGGTAGCTATTATTACCTTTAGTGCACTTCTTCGTACCATGGAGATTGTTGATGAGCGACCAAGTTTTTTTTTTATATCAGAACAAGCGTCCTTAAAGGAGCCCTGCAATCATATTTAAGCGTCTACCTTCGTTGCGGTTTCCACGTCTCTTGGGGTTCGGGCAAGCCAGCGGGCATAGAGAGAGTAAATAAATATCAGTAAGTCATATTTTAACCGGGCAACGCGAAAACCTCCTCCACCTACGGGGGCGACCCACGGTGCCGAAAGCGCGCAATATGTGACATCATGACGTTTCAGGTCCCGGCCTTTCTACTGGTCAAAACCGCTAAAAGCTTCTTCTTAGTCAAAATACAAAACATGAAACGGTGCGAGCCATTTCAATTATTTATAAAAGTAGTTTTTGTTCAGTATTTTAGATCAGAAAAGAAACAAATGCAGTTTATAAAGTACGGAAACAAGAAATGACCAGTCGACACACCCGCCACCAAGCGGTGGAAAAGGCGGCGCATACTAGAAAGGTGTAGTCGAATCAGGCACCGACGAACGGCGAGCGTAGAAAGGTCCCGAATGTATGCGGCAGCACTGGCAGTCGAGGATCCGACCGGTTCCGAGCGTTCCGAAGGCCTTAGGCGAGCAGCTTTGGCTTACGGTTTGGCCCTTTGGCGGTAAGGCAGCGTGAAGTGGCTCCTGTTGTGAACTGATCTTTACCTCGTGTTTGCTGTCGTTTGTGGCCAATGAAGTGTCATGCCGAATTAGTGTTTAATCACACAGCAAATCAAACGTGAGCAGCCCTGGCTGTCTGCTTTATACAGCCTATTCAGAATATGCTTTAGTGGCGACCTCTCAAGCTGTCAACACGGAGTGCGGCAGTTGTGAGCGCTAGCTGAGCTCACTACCCCTCCTCTAGTTCACGGCCACTCAAGCAACCAAGGATGTCATGAAGGAGGTTAGTTTTTGCTTTTTTATGTAATTTTAATTTGACTATAACTTAAAATAAAGCAAAATCCGAGAAAAGAAAAGCTTCATTAAGTTATTACGTTCAGTGCGCTCAGGTACGGTGCAAATTAAAAACCAATTCAAAGTCCTTGCAGGGCCCTTTTATTGTGCATGCATTTTGCCTGGCGAATCATGGCATTAACCTTATTTCTATTGCTTGAATTTCAACCGTAGCATAGTGTTACCGGGGGGCGTTTTTACTATGCCCATAGGAGATCTTTTTCTTTTATGGCTGCCAATATTTCTGAAGACATCTATTTCTGGTCTATGTTACATTGTTTCATTTTTACAGGGCATGTAGCCACCTTTTCTAAAAGGTTAAACTGAGCTAAAACTGTTCATAACTGTAAGCTGGAGATGTAGTCAGAAGAGAAGTATTCCAATCATGTTGCTCCACAAGTTTATTAAAGTGCCTGGGATTGACTATTGACAACTCCTCAGTGCCAACAGAAGTCAACAGCTGAGATATCTGGGTTAATGAACAACAAACAAAATAATGATCAGCAAGTTTAGTTTCAATGATTGCAGACTAGATTATTGCATTCTGAGCTTATACATTTATATGATGAATGTTAGATACCACCAGCTGGCTAAATATAAATTCTCCCATGTTGCCTTCTGAATTGTTGCTTTTAAGCCCCATTTAGAAAAAAACTTCAAATTAGTCTGCAACTATGGTCACTGTGGGACGAAGTATGTCAATATTAATATCGCCATTTACACATACAAGCTCATCAGATGGAAGAGGACAAACCTAAATCAAATTCGGACAGAATTAACCATGCATTGCAGCACGGGGGAGGATACATTAAGAAAAGGACCACGGATAACAAAGGAGTGCTTAAGTGGAGCGCAACTACTTCCGCCTGTTGGAATGAAAATTTTAGCTGGGTCACTGACCAAATATATTTTATAAACACAGCCACACATCTTCTTTTCCCATTGGACGAGTATATAAGAAAACATTTGATAGCCTGGTATTTTATACTTAGTCTTGGTCAGCACAAAAGCATCAAAACAAGAGCAAAAAGGGGAGAACGCGAGAAAATAGTTCCAGCGTTTTCGAATGCTTGGGATATTAAACGGGTAGTACGGAAAGTATTACCTTTGAAGCTTGTGAAAAAGTAGTGTATTTCTAAAAAGCTAACAACAGTATGAAAGTCCTCACAGTCCATAATCAGACGATCCTCTCTGGATTCAACACCCTTTTAGCTTATCAGTTCAAGATCGCGTTCACAGCTGATGCACACTGGAGTTGCATCATCTTGCCATTTGGCAAAGATCTTGCCATTTCGAACCAAAACATACTTGAAGCTTTTCTCCTTTCCCCATGTACGGGTTTTTCAGAAGAGGTTTCGACTGATTTTGGGTGAGATTCTCATTAAAATAAAGCTGGGGTAGAGTTCTCGCTTGTGCGAGTTCGCACAGACAACATTTCTCAAACAGCTGATGACGAAAATCGAACCGAAATCGGGGGGTTCGCTAAATTTGGGGGGATCTTATCCTTTTTGCTTAGTAGCCTGTGGACAGCTAGCATGTTGGAAGGTTGAAAAGATGTGATCGCCAGATCTTCTGCGAGGTCGTAGAGAGATTTTTGTTAGGTCTTCATTTGTTGACACCGGCATGCCATGGATTTCTCGAATGCTCACATCGATCTTACTGGTGCTCGTGCTGCGAGCTCACGTGCTCAAGCACGTGAGCACGTGCTTGTGTAAGGCAAAAAAAAACAAAAAACAATGATTAAAAAGAAGTCTGCACAGTCGACAGGATTTGAACCTGTGCAGGGAGATCCCAATGGATTTCTAGTCCATTGCCTTAACCACTCGGCCACGACTGCAGGACGAGTAGGGGGCTCTGAGATGTGGTAGTAACTCAAGAGCCGGGGGATGCCATAGATGAAAAGTTGCATGAAGCCGCTCAACGTCTATACAGGAGAGGGCGCTGCGGTCAAATGCGTATATAATTGTGTTAAACTTTGCATGCATTGACTCAACGCTTATAGACGAGAGGGCGCTGCAGTCAAATGCTCAAATGCGTACATAACCACGTTCCATACCACACATTCTCTTTCTGACATGGATGAAAACGAACGAAAGGCTCGGCATGCTGCAGCTCAGCGCCTACGCAGACAAGCACTGCCAGAGCTTCGCACCAATCAACATTATTCACCACGTGGAGATACGGTCATTTTTTTAACCTACTTTCACGGATTAGTCTTGAGACTGCCAGGCCCTATGAATATTTGATTTGCTGTCATGGCAGGTTCGCTTGCAAGAAAGCTGGTAAGCAAACCTGCCGCGAGATTTCTATTCCAGCCGCTAGGTGTCATCGATTTTATAGTAGTCGCTGTAGAGATGGAGACTTGTGTGTGAGGCTGAGTTTGCTGAAAAAGGAAAGGGGAAAACCTCGAACGGAATGTGCAACTAAAGGGGGAAAGCGTTAGTTTCTTCAATATAACTGGAGTTCTGCGTTTTCGGTTTTTATTTTTTTTCAAAATTCGGCATACTTTTTTCGGTGTTTATTTTAAAATTAAATTTTCTATGTTTTTCGGTGGATATTTATTACCAATAATGCTTACCGGTTGATTTTGGCGAATATGAAAGAAACTACATCGGACACTGGATCAGATCATCCTTGTAGCTGTGATATTTGTGATCACTGAAGAACAACAACACGTATACATACGTGGTCTTCGCTACAACTTCCGTCAGGACACACCTCAAGACCGCAGAATTCGTGGGCATAATCTTCAGCGCGCTTCTTTTTCCTTCCCATTCTGATGACGTGACCGTCTGATGTGACGACCATACAAAAACCAGTGGAATGGAAAAAAAAATATCCATTGTATTTATGTTTTTAACCACAGGGAAGTTTGAGAGAGGTGTTAAGAAAAGTATTAACGGCTTTCCTCGATGTCCTATGAAGTGCATGAAGCGAAAAACCTTAGACTAACCCACATTCAAAGATTTTTTTTTTAGGATTGGTAACTTGACACACTAAGCCTGATCACAGAAAGTACACAGATGTTCCGCAAAGGCCAATCCTAGACCTCTTGTTGCATGTTGAACCTTGGAGGGGGGCAATTACGAAGACGTCGCACAATGTCGAACCTTGCAAAGCCCTCTCCTCCTCCTCCTCCTCCTCCTCCTCCTCCTCCTCCTCCTCCTCCTCCCACCCACCTCGGCGTGGCCCTAAAAAACTGACCTTTTTCGGTTAAAACCGAATTTGAGAAAACTGATTAGACATACTTTTATTGGTTTAAACCGGAACCCCGAACCTACAAACTGACCTTTTTCGGTTAAAACCGAAGTTCCGAAAATGGATTCGGCATACTTTTGCCGGTTTTTATTGGTTTAAACCGAAAACTCAGGACCCTAAATATAACTGACACTTGCCTCAATCCCTGCAATCCTTGAAAGCCCACAAGGATCATGGAGACATCTTTGCAAGGAGCAAAAGGGCCAGAGGATGCAAGTTAGGTAAATAGTTTTTGAGTGCTATGAGCCATCTCAAAGGAGCAAAGTGCCCCCTTCTGTGACATCACAGGTTATGCATTAATTACAAACAAGAGTCTCCCGGTTTTGCAGGACTGTGTCAGCACGACATGACATATAACCGAAATGTGGAAGAGTGGACTGTAAGCATACCTTTGTGATATTTCGTTCATCAGGTGCGATAAAAACTCCAGGAGGTGGTTCTGAGTAGATGTCCATGACATCTCTGCAAACAAATAAAACAGAAACATGCGTCGGTAAATTTTCTTTGGTTTTACAGAAGTCTGCTTCAATCTTTCACTACACAAGTGTGAGCGAAGCTGAAGCTACAAGCACGAGCATGCTGCCCTCATCGACGCATCCACTGTCTCAAAGCGCGTGCTTGGCAGTCACCTTTTAAACGCAAATCTGTATCGACATTAAAAAAAAAAAAAAAATTTGAGGACGCATTATTATCTTTAAACCCCAGTTCGACTTCTGCCAAGTTGAACGCAGCTTCTGCCAAATTGAACGCAGTCAGAGCTTCTGGGGCGAGAGTTGAATTGCACGCGCTCCCGCCAGTGGCTTTGACAGCGTCGTGCACACAGAAATGCACTCCGAAAATCTTGAGCACAGAACGTGCACGTTCACAAGCAATATGAAGAAAAAAAAAAAAAAAAGAGGGGGAGGGGGGGGTATGCATTGAGGCACGCCGAAAAAAAAAAAGGACCGCAAGCCCCCACCCAGATCAAGATAAGACTGCGGAGCCGCGAAGATATGGAATGGAACGCTGCTACATGCAAGCGTTTGTATGACACGCCACCCCCTCAAGGTGCTTTAAGCTCGACACGCCGGACCTTCGCGGTATACACCGGAAGCCAACGTTCTCTTCAAGAAACATTCGGCGAATTCTAAAGGACGTCACTCGTACCTTTTGGTCCTCAGGAGGCACTGGGGAGATGAAACCTCGCACAAATGAGCGATGGGATCCCAGTGATAGGCATCGGGTTTTGCGGGAGGCGGTGTGTCGGAAGACGGGGGTTCCGATGAAGAGTCGGCACTTTCGCCTTCGTTGTTCATGCTGCCACGTGTGTCCACGTATCTATGCTATCCAGCAAAAAGAATGCGGGCAGAGTACGAATGCGGGGAGAACACGAGAACACCGCGAAGTCAATCACCTGCCATTGATTTTCTTGGTTTTCTTCGTTTCCCCCAGTTCCCTTGGTTTCCTCTTAAAGGGCTGTGGATGAATATACATAAACATTTGCTCACTTCATCGAATTAGGTGGTGACTCGCGCCACCAAGCAAGCACGTTCACAAACAAAACAAAAATTGTTTAATATTAAATCAGGCTGAAAAGCAAGAATAAACGCCATACTATTCAGAACAGTCTATAAATTACTGTAATTTATTTGTAAATATATTGAGTTATAACTGTCATTTAGTCCTCTACTGTTTCAGTGGACATTAGTTTCTAGTAGCTTTTAGCCGTTTCAAGACGTGAGTGTTGGCTACAATGTCACTTTCAAATCATGGCTACCGATGTTGATGGTTGCGTGAGTGAAAACTCGGTTGACGATATTGAAGAAAGAAAACACTTTCAAAGAATTGTGAATGCTTTTAGGTCTTATAGGTAATTGTTTCATGCATTACCCCTTCGGCTTGGAGCGATATGCAGGGAGGTTGTTACAATAAAGATGCGTGTTGCTGGGTAAAGGGTACAATTCGGATAACTGCTAATCGAGTTCAAAAGTCAACTTTATCAAGTGCTGGGAATAATTTTGCTGTATTAAGAGTAATATCGTTAATTGCGTCGAAATGAATTCATTCGGCATCAGTTACACTTGCGGAAGATGCCACAGCGCGTGTATTGAACGTGGACTGCTGGATACTGTCCAGAAGCACGATTAAAAACAAAAATTATCCTCTTCTGATTAATGTATTACCCTCGTTTTACATTCAAACTTCGTGCAGTTTGCCAGATGTCGTGTGCGATACAAGCATTGCAGGTCTAGGCAAAAGAGGAAAGAAAAAGTACATTGCATGTTGTGACTGTCATGGTAAACTGGTTTACTGTGCGTTTTATTTATTTATTTATTTTTTCCCCGTGACTCGGTGTCTAAATCTGGCGTTTTAAAAACGTACCCCTTACCCCCCTTTTTCTTTCGTTTTATTCAATATTTTACTGCAGTTGGCCATGAACTGAACGAGAGTGTTTCATAATCTTGAAAGCAGGTAGCATACAACACAGTTTCCAACGGCTGTGCTGTGTCTAAATATGGTGTTCTACGTTCTTGGAAAACTGTTGAGGACCTGGGAGAGCAAAGACAATTTAGTTTTTCAGCTACTGCCAGATTTCTCCTCTCCTGTGAACTTTTCCATAGCCTCACACAGTATTGATTTTCTAGCGTGCGTACATGCTTTTAAAAGCAAACAACATTTTTTTGTTTGTTTTTAAGTCAATGAAATTCTAAACAGCTTTCATGTCAGTTTGTAAAGTTTCTAGGTAATAAAGTTTTCAGAGAAAAAGGGCAACCAAGTAAGTGCATTAAAGGGTATGTCAAAAACTTGATATTGAAAAGAGAAAGTAGTTTTTTGTAAGGGCTTGAGCCCCTTTATTCTCAATAAATTTGACTCAACATGACATCGCAGGATGTGCCCTCCAAGCTTCAACTTGGGCCAGTTGAAGGATCTTGTATGGAATGCGTCATTGTAGAAACACATTACAACAAATTACATAATAGCACAAACTTTTCAGAAGGTGCTGCTTTCAAAAGAAAGTTCTCGCAAAGACGTCATTTTTACATACATTTATTCTTTGTGGGGTGCTAGTTGTCAATTGCATGTCATGTTTTCTTTTTGTTTTTTTTCCAAAGGAAAATCATATCTTTTTCATGTGTAATTATTTATTCAAATGATGGTGAGTTGTGAGGTAAGCCTCAATATTAAACCAAACTATCTCGCAGCTTGCCCATAATGTGGCCGACCATTACAAAGGCTAAATGCCTGGACGCCTTTCTCCGTTGTTCCAGCCGGTCCTACAAACTCGAATTGGCTTGAAGCCAGCTCTCTTTCTCAACTTGCAAATGGAGAGTGATTGCAGTCTTAGTTTTTCTTGTGCTCTCCAAAGACGTCAAAAACGCGAAGCATCATGGCTGCCGTTCTCTCTGCTTCCCGCTGTTGCAGAAACTACTCCTTGAGGAGGCTGTGCAAGGCGGTCAAGTACCTGTCCAGCCTGTCCCTCCCGCACCAGCTGATGCTCAAGGGCTACAGGGAGCACCTGGATCGGGTCCGCATGGCCATAGACCACAACAATGAGATCCTCAAGATGGTGATTGGCAGCATCGCACACATGTTTGAGAACGCCGATCATTCTGACGACGTGAAGCCAACCAACCAGGTTTGCTGGATGAAAATTCATTTCTAGCACCTCCTGTTCTATTCTGCGTGTCGGAGAAAGAAACAAAATGAGCCGGCAGCCTGTGAAATGGCTGCAAACTTGCAGGACAAGAAAGTTTATCTTTCACCAAGAACGCTGACATAAGAGATAGAACGTTGATTGTCCAGCCGACCACAAGCTTCGTGTGTGTCTTGCGTCATGGCTTGCAATTTTACCATCTGCCTTTGTCATGCGCAAATGCAGATATGGTGTGTAACACATCTTCTTTTTGAACGAAAGGAACGCTGATATGGACTGTATTATTTCTTACTATTCTCCAATAGTTCACTCACATTTAGAGTACTTGGCCAGTGATTCATTCACCTCTCGTAGTTAAATTGTACCACATAAGACACCCTTTTTCCCCCATGTCGGATTTCCTATTGTAATATCGATGCTCGAAGTTTTCAAGAGCCTGATTCATCTTGCGTGCGCTGCTTCTTCAAGGTGCCGGCAACCTCTCTGGACATGGACAAGGTTCAGGGAGTCCTGAAGCAGTTTGTTCGTGAATGGAGTGATGAAGGTGCGGACGAGCGCAGGGCGTGCTTCCAACCCATCATAGACGCCATCGTCGAGCATTTTCCTTTTGAGGAGATGTAAGTGCCTTCATGCTTTTGGAACTAGTACTTTGCAGCCGTGACTGTTCCTTCAATTATAATGGTTCATGTGCATGGCATTTCCTGTACACTGGTATATGCTGGACAGACATGTCTTCTTTTACAAAGGACATTCTCTAATCATGTTTTATTTCTAGTCTGCAGTAACATTTCAGATTCTTTTGAGAATATTGGTACTCACAAAAGTAGGTGGGTAATGCGGTCTTATTGCAGTGTTCGCACCTTTGTTTATAATGAGCTTATTAGTAAAATATTATTCCAGGAAGTTTCCCACAAACTTCAACATTCAACATTACTGCTTGCAATAGCGGAATTGAATCTTTCACCAAATAAGATTGTTACAAAAGTTAACTCTGCCAAATTTCAAGAAATGCTCACTGTTTTTATTAACCATACTAATGGGACTTAAAATTTAAATAAGAGCTTTAGTTTTGTTGTTGCCTTAGTTGTACTTGTGTGTGCTTTGTCCTTAGTGTTTTTGTTATGGCCGTAAAATGGCTAATACCCGTTCCACACGGGCAACTCGAATGTTATTTACAACGAATGACATTTGAGCGGACGGCCAATCAGCGCGCGACACTCCGGGCGTGGCGCATTCCACACGCGACAGATTGCGAGCTGATTCGCCGATCACACAAATGTCATTCGTTGTAAATGGCATTCGAGTTGCCCGTGTGGCACGGGTATTAGTAGGCTAGTTATTGATACATGTTAAACTGGAAAAGCGCCTCATAAATATGTGGACATGAGAAAGGAGGGAGAGGAACAAGCACTATGCTTTTTTACAGAATTATGTTTTTTTTTTTTAATTCTAGAATTGTGTTTAGAACCTCCCGTGCATAATACCCAGAAACAGGTCCTCAAGGCACATAAATGAATAAATAAATAAATAAAGTTGAGTCAACAAATTAGTGGTTCATGTGGCACAGAAATGTGCCCCATGGTCAGGGCTATGGGTTTTCAGATGACTGAAAAAAAAATTCGAAAGACACCGATTAGTAAAAATTGTGTATTGCTTTTTAATTCTCAAAAATTTTATGTTCAACATACTTATAGAAAAAAGAAAAAAAAAGAAGCTTGGGACATTTAACACTTATACTCCTTTTTGTGTCAGGAGAAGAGCGACTTTTATGCATAGTTTGCACATACAAGTTCCAACAAAATTTGGTTGTCAGAGGAAGTAAATTTTGAGAACAAAGAGATTTCACTTAGGCAAAAAATTTCAACCCCTTGCTTACTCTTTTTTTTTTCCTTCAAGAAACGTACAGCAAAATTTTATTTTAAATGGTTAATTTGCAATGAAATAAGACAAAAATCTTTCCTCCACTTTCAGGTGTCATATTTTGCTCCAGATCAGGACTTTTGGTCTGAGTCCCAATGACGTGCAGATGCCAAAGTTGATAAAATGCTTACAGGCTTCACATGGTTTTCATTACTCTTGTCACTGCCCATCAAACTAACGTTCTATTCCTAAAAGTCGGAAGAGACGAAGGATTCGTCGTGACATACACCTGAGCATTAATCCCATTAAAAAAGGAGGTTTTTTATCTCCTTGTTGGCTAAAGTGGACCTCTGCGCCAAAGCCAAGTTGTTTTAGTGTGAATGCTCACAAGCAACTGCTTTTTTGTCTTGGCTAAATGGAGCATTTTGTCTCTGTCAGACAGCAAAACAAACGAGCAAACTGCATACAGTAAAGGTAGCAACATGGGTGGTTTAGCCATCTGCCAGAGAGCGCGCTAAACAAGCGCCGAAACCAGAATGTAAGTCTCACTTGTGGTCGGGTTTTATGGTCCATCAGGGGTGGCACGAATGACACTCGTTATTAGTAGGCAAGGGGTAAATGAAGTTATAGTATAGTTATGTAGAAAGCTCTATAAGTATAATGATCTTAGAACTGAATGAAATTAGATTATAGAAGAATGGTACCTTTTCAGATATTCTTTAAGTTTTTTTTGTGTTCTCTTCCGTAACCGGCGTTACGAAGCGTCTTAGTTTTTTTTTGCTAAAAAGTGTGCCATCATTCTTTACTGTTGCTTTGTAACAAGGCTATGTCCTCATTATTCATCCTTTATTCAGCCATTAACTAAAATTATTTGGGGCATTATTTTGTGGGCTGTCGACGTCCAATTGGTGTTTCCTCAGGTTAATTGAACAAATAACTCATGCTTTCATTCACTTTGTCCGGATGCAACTTCTAAGATTTTCTTTGTCTACACTTTTTGTCTGATCGCTGTCCAACAGTGACCCCAGAATGGTGAAGGTGCTCGTGCCAGGAGCGGGGCTGGGCAGGCTAGCCTACGAAATTGCCCGGAGGGGATACTGCTGCCAGGGCAACGAGTTCAGCCTTTTCATGCTGTTCGCTTCCAACTTCATCCTCAACTCGTGAGTTCAGATTCCTTCCCCCTCCTGAAAATCTTTCTGCATCACGATCATGTTTTTTTTTTTTATTTTTAATTTTTAACTTTATTTTTTAAGTCGCAATCTTTAGGGATCCTTAGCCACTGTAAATATTTTAGTCGTAAACTTCCTCTTTTTTTTTTCTATCGGAGTTTCTATGCATGTCTTCCCAGGTCTTAGTAGTTTTGAAAAACTCCTTAGCAATTCACTATTGGGAGTGTATGAGAGTACCCTAGCTATAGCATACGTTTTTGTGGGTTTTCATTATGCATGTTTTAAAAGCATTCTTAGGTTCTTTTTTCTCTTTCTCTTTTTCATTAAACGTCAGTTGTCAGTCAGCGCTCTATCTTGTCTCCTTTGTCTAACCTTCCTTCTCATATTTGCGCTGTTAATTCCACATAAAGATATTTCTGGGCATTGCTGTTATCTGTCTGTGGTGATAAGAGCAGGTGAACACAATTACATGCAATCATTGTTTTTAAACTGACTTCCTGAGAATCCAGGCAGGTCCTGCAGGAACCGTTAGGCTCTCATTAGTTATTTGTTTTCCAGTTTAAGCACTGTTCAAATAAATTCAGCCTAGCATTGATGCATGACTACCAATCAGTCGATCAAAGCTTTATTTTTCCAGACACACACTGGAGGGTCTCCTAGATTAAAATCTGCTAAAAGCAGCTTGATGGGTTCTGTGAACCCATTACATGAACAACAGCTTCGAGAGAGAAAAAAAAAGAGAAAAAGAAAATCCCTTCTTGCACATTATGCAATACCAACTTAACCATTAATCCTTAAAGGGCAACTCCGCTCAATTCCGAAGATTTCGGGATAATGAGTGATTTCGAATTAAAAAGCCCTAATAAAAGACACTATGTCGTTTGCTTCGCGAAAAATGGGATATATATTTTTAAATCTAATTTTAAACACGAGCGGAAATTGAAACCGAAACTTCGGCTCCGTCCGGCAACATTGACCTCGGGCCGCCAAGTACATGGCCATCACGTGGTACGAGATGTCACGTGATGCTCGGCCCAATGACGAGCGGGATGGGGGCGGGCATGCGGCAGGCGCGAGTGTCGTCTGCACTGCACTCTTCGCCACGTTTTGGTGTTTACGGCATTCGACGACGTCTGCACAACTGCGGCATAAGTCTGCGACTCGTGGACGAAACTCCGAGAGGCAATAATCACAAACGGTGAGACAACGACGGTGGTTGCGACGCGGAAGACGGCGGTAACGGCAGGACCGCGGCGGGCGGTTGGTCTGCTCCCAAGAAGCGCGCTGCGCAGACGCGTACGCCAATCACGTGGACACCGCTGAGCGCCGAGAGGCAACGTTGCTGACGTCATGCGCTACGCTCGATCGGAGAAGTAAAAACAAGCAAATGGGGGCCATGATGATGACATTTAGCTCAATGTTGGCTCCGCCCATGCCGTAGCCTTGACTGCGCTGTTGGTTGCGCCTGAATTCACCCGCTCGAGTTAGCCGATTTCGGCAACTTGGCGAGTTGCAAAGTTTGCCGGACCGTTTAAAAAACATTTAGACAGAACTGCGTCGTAATATTTGACGTGTGGTCTTCCTAGGCGATACTGAAGAGGACTGCATTGTTTTTTCAAAACCAAAAATGAAGCGGAGTTGCCCTTTAACCATTATTTTTTCAGTTTTTGACATTAAACATTTTTTTTTTTTTTATTGCACGTGCGACCCGGGCTGCATCACATGTCTTCACAATCAATCATCATCCTTAAAAACATGTATAATAAAAAACACGTGCTGCCATCTCTGAGCAGCACTGCAAACTAAGCTCTGAATGAGCCTGGGTCGTCCAAAACAGCCAAGGGGCGAGGTAGGGTGCACAAACAAGCCACACTCATCCTAGATGGTTTGGGGACGGATCTTGGAGGACGAGCTAGGCTCGTCCAAAATGGTTAAAAGGTTAAAGGGATACTGCAACAAAATTCTAGCACCTATAATATTGTCTAAATGTCAACCATGTTCTGGCCAGATCATGGTGACAACAATTTTTTGCTCGAAAAGACACCAAAACATTATTTAAAAGGAATAAACTGAATGTCGTTATGTCACTCTTACCTTTAAAGCAGCGCCACTCCGCTCAAGTACAGCGGTGAGCTGCGTGCGCGAGCCCTGTCGAGCCGGATTTCTCTTTTTTCCCAGCCTATTCAACTCCTGCGGGAAGCAGGGAGGGATGACTAAAATGGCCAGGTTGCAATGTGTTGACAACACCAAGTGGCGGGGCTTATAACCACGTCAGCCCCAAAGCAGCTTTGCCCGTGCTGGTCTAACTGATGTCGCGTTTCTTGCGACGTATTGCCCTCTTCGATGGCTGATCTTCGAGCGCTTGCTGGAATCGGTCCTTCGGAACGATTCCAGAAATATAGGCATCTGTTCAAAATACAAGCGTGCGATAGACCTGTTGCAAGACGTACAGCACCATGACAGCAGGGGATTTCGGGAAATCTCGGTACAGATTACGTGCTTTCCCCTTGCACCTCCGCTACTGCTCGTGAGTCGCGGCAGTTACCGCCAGCAGCTCTCGCAGCAATCCGCTATCCCTCCGTAACGTCGTACGTCGTTGGGCGGCATACCATATCTGTGGCAGCATAAACGCATCGTAACAGGCGAAGCTATTCACTTGTTTTAATACGTTATTTGTCGTAACTTACTTTCACATCTTGCAGTGTCACCAATTTCATTTATTTTGCTCTGCAACCATGGCAGGGTTCGACTAGGTTCGACAAAGCATTGGTGCAGCAGACGACAGAGCCGATAGAAAGGAGAGGGATGAGAAAGGGGCAGCCTCGCAAGATAGCCAGAGCGATACCCTCTTCCCTATTCCCATGCGCTCGTCGCTCGTCCGACTCAACGGCTCGAACGTTCTGGCCTCGGTAACCTGTGCCTGCTCGTGTGTGTCACGTGGTAACGGGAAGAAAGACGATGGGAGGGGCATACCGAGGACTCTGCGGCGCACACGGGCTTTTGGGATTTTTGCAAATGGTCTGTGATCATTAGCAGATGGAGCTTATCATGTTTACTTATTTCTGAAGGCGAGAGGTATATTTTAAGTTTGGATTCAGTATCCATTTAATAATACTAATACTAATAATAAAATAATAATAAATCTTTATTTAATGTGTCCAAAAACAACCAGAGTGGTCTTCACTTTGGTACACACATAAAAAAGGAAAAAAACCAAGTGAACAAACATAGCTGATCAAATGTCGAGATAACATAAAATTGACCACTGGAAGAGAAGCACAGTAAATATGCACGCTAAATGGTTGCTGTGTGGTATCTTAATTTTTTTTTTAAAAACTGAAATGCACTGAATATATCCAGGCTAGACAATGCACTCCTATTGAACAAAGTCTGAAAATAAGACATTGGCAACACACTACAAATTTAATGAACATAAAAAATTATAAAATGTCTAGTAACACGGCAAGAAACGTGAAAATTTATACAGCCCAAAAGAAAGTGAGTGTCGAACACCCCATTCACAACGTTGTACAAGAAAACTAGATCACGTTCCAGCCTTCTCCTTGACAAAGGCATGAAAGAAACTCTATTAAGAAGAAATTCATCATTATAATAAACGCGGCGTTGGAAGTGTCTATCATATACAAAGCGTATCAGCCTTTTTTACACGGATTCAATTCTCAACGGCTGCGTGCGAGATAATGAATTCCAAATAACTGAACCGAATTCAAGCCTAGATCATACTAACGCACAAAATAAACAAATCAAACATGTTGGTTTTCTGAACTGCTTAGTCATATGGGAAATCATGCCCAGCATTTTCATTGCATTTCCGACGATAAAAAACACATCAGCATTGAATGAAAGCACGCTGTCAGCATACATACCAAGATCCTTAACAACTGTCATGCGTTCAATTTGCGTTCCCCCTAAAACGTAGGTGAAAGGTATAACACCATGGCGTCGGCACAAAGAAAGAGCCCTAGTTATAAAAGGACCTAGAAGCAAGCTACTATTCGCTGAACACCAGCGCAGTATGTTAGTCACATCGCTTTGAAGTATGTTGTAATCAACAAGAGATATTACACTCATATAAATCTTAACGTCATCTGTGAACAGTAGTATTTCAGCCTTTTGGACATTTGATGTTATATCGCTAACAAATATCAATAACAGAAGTGGCCCAAGTATAGACCCCTGGGGGACACCTGAAGTTGAACGAAACATTTTTGAATGGGAGCCAGAAATGCAAACACTTTTCGTACGATATGAAAAAAAACTTAAACCACATGCATGATAGCGAACAACAACCATATAAAGAGCACTTGTTCAATAGCAGCCCATGGTTAACTTTATCGAATGCTTTAGACATGTCGAAGTAATTTATCATCTACCTGCCCCTTGTTCAAAACAACAGGTACAGAGTAATTTAAAAAGGAACACAAGTTGGTCTCAACCGACTGACCCTTCATGAACCCATGCTGCTTGGCCGTTAATTACTAACGAAAATAAAACATACTATGTTTATGTATCAGCTTTTCAAACACCTTCGAAAACCCGCACAATATTGAAACATAAATAATAACTAAATATAAGAAAATGCATCAAATCGGAAATATATATACATCACACTCATTATTAAGAAACATTTATTTAGAACTGTCAGGAGGTTGTATCAGTCAAACTATCCATTCCCTTTCATTTTAATGAACAAAGTTTGGAAGCTTTCGAGCAGTTTGATAGCAATGAATTGTAAAAGGAATTGTGGTTCCTTGGCACAACTATAGACTAGAACATTTGGGAGTTGAATTAATGACTCGCATTAATGATGAGTACTGTAATATTTTTACCTTGATGACTGCTGGTGAAGCATGGACACATGTGGGAATAAGTGTCTAGCAAAACCCCACCAGTTTTCACGATTATAAATTTCTAACTTTTCAGTAAGTTGTAATTCTAACACAAAACAGAGCTAGACATACTTTTCATAGATTGTGACAGGTCAGTAATCTCCCGTGATGAAGTTATCTCTCGATTAAACATTAAATTATTCGGTGCAAAAGAATGAAGAAGTAAAAGTTTTTCCCAGCAGCCTTGGCAAAATATTGAGCATGCTTTTGTGCTCATGCAGATCCCACTCTAAGGGTCGATAAAGAATGCGTAAATCTATCCTAGAGATTACCCACTGTCGAAGGTTGTCATAAGTACCCACTGAATTTGAAGGGTGGAGGGGGGCTTTTAGTTGGTGCTTTCCAGCAACATCTCCAGTGAGTGGATTTAATAGATGCAGCACAAGTGACTGCATCCTAATTGGGAATGATGAATATAACACTATTGGGCACAAACCTTTTGGTGCGTCTTGCGTCCTGTCCTCAGTTTTTCATGGAACATCCCCCACAGTCTTCCTGGCCTCGGAGTAGGGGTCCTTGAAGCACTCCTCAATAACCGGTCTTATACTCATGTGACCGGCTACCCAGTTTTCTGAAAGCTTTCTTGAGGTAGTTTCAAGCATGTACCGAATTAACGAGGGCAGATTGCCCAAACTCTTCCCTTTGTATCATGTCCTTTTCTCTCTAGTCCCAAAAGATCTTTCCAGAAAATTTCTGGAGACCTCGCGATCATTCCATGTTGCACCGCACGGCGAGAGGAATTGTGGGGCGGTTCTGAAGTATGCTCGAGCCTGTCTGCATGCTTCGTATATTCTGGAACAGGCACGGTCCATTCTCGCTTACCATTGCAAACACAAAACAAGGTTATCACATATTTTATTTGGTTTCTTCTGCCTTCTTTGCATTCGGAGATCACAAAACGTGAAACAAACATGAACTTCGTCTTCTATTGCGGGGTAGTCATTCACGTTCCATACAACAAGTCGTCATAATGCGTCGTGCGGACAATGACATATTTCTGGAACGGTCTATTGTGACAGACAGCTGCAGTAAGCTGTTTGGTCAGAAAAAGGAGTAGGTATGTAATCACCGCTCCTGTGGAAGTAGTTGGGCCGTGCTTGTGCTACGAACCTCCGAGCGAGGCGCGACGTTGCGACACGTGGCTCTATCTTTCCTCACAGGTGCAAGGGCACCAACCTGTACACGGTGTACCCCTGGGTGCACCAGTACTACAACCACATGACCTCGGCAGACCAGGTGCGGGCCGCCTGCTTCCCGGACGCCGATCCCACTGAGGTTCCCAGCGATGCCCAGTTCTCCATGGCTGCCGGAAACTTCGTTGAAGTGTACAGCTCTCAAGGTGCGCCCTCTCTCCTCGTGTCGCTTCTCGTCGGTTGTTACGCAAAGTTTTCAAGACTGGACCAGTCGATTTACCTCGGAGCGTGAGGCGGCACCGTGACGTGGACGGTCCAGGATCCCGAGCAGTGGTGACTGTCCCTCACGCCCCGTTGCTCGGCTTCGAATCCAGTTGCGCTCCCATGTGCTCCCTCTCCTCGCGGTTTTTCTAGTCTTCTTTGCTGATGCAGCGTTATCGTCGTTGTGGGAACATGACAAACACTACGACGTGACATTGTGACATGACCTGACGTCACTTGGTGTCAGGTGACACTGTGACGTACGTCATGCGACACTGTGATGGCTTTATACATCTACAAAACCCTTGCAATGTGCCCATCAGTAGCCTCCCTGCTGCATCCACAAAAAGAGGAGCGCGGAGATGCTACACGTAAATGCTACACATTTAGAACACTTTCGGGAAATTCCGAAGAGACAGTCCATTTTTTTTTTGTAGACAAACAAGGGGTACAGATTTTGTCGTTCAGAGCGGCTGTCTGCCTTAACTTCAGCCGGCCAGTGGGACTGCGTGGCCACCTGCTTCTTCCTGGACACGGCCCCCAACGTGGTGGTCTACATCGAGACCATCTACCGCACCCTGCGCCCCGGCGGCATCTGGGTCAACCTGGGGCCGCTGCTGTACCACTACGCTGACCTCCCCAACGAGAACTCCATCGAGCCCAGCTACGAGGACGTCAAGCACGTCATCCTCTCCTTCGGCTTCCTCATGCTGGCAAGTGCCCCCCGGGTGGCCCCGGTGCCTGCTGGTTCATGGCGCCGGGGAGCCTAGATTTAAGGGGGCCCTGCGAGGACTTTTTTACTGGTTTTTAATTTGCGCCGAACCTGACCGCACTGAATGTAGTAGCTTAGTGAAACTTTTCTTTTCTCGAATTTCGGTTTAATTTTAAAGTTATAGGCAAATTAAAATTACAAAAACAAGCAAAAAATAACCTTCTTCATGACGTCCTTGGTTGCTAGAGTAGCCGGGAACTAGAGGAAGGGTAGTGAGCTCACCAAGCGGTCACGGCTGCTGCACTCCGTGTTGACGGCTCAAGAGGACGCCACTAAAGCATGTTCTGGCTAGGCTGTATGAGGCGGGCAGCCAGGGCGGCTCGCATTGCATTTGCTGTGCAATTAAACACTAATTCGGCATGACACTTCATTGGCCACATACGACAGCAAACACGGGGTGAATATCAGTTCAGAACGGGAGCTACTTCGCTCTGCCATACCGCCAAAAGGCCAAACCGCAAGCCAAAGTTGCTCGCCGAAGGCCTTGAGAATGCTCGGAACCAGTCGGATCCTCCAGTTCGTACGACTGCAGCGCCGCCGCATACATCCGGAACCTTTCTACGCTCGCCGCTCGCTGGTGCCTGATCCCACTACACATTTCTAGTATGCGCCGCCTTTTCCACCGCGTGGTGGCGGGTATGTCGACGGGTTATTTCTTCTTTGCGTACTTTATAAACTGCATTTGTTTCTTTTCTGATCTAAAATAGGGAACAAAAACTACTTTTACAAAAATAATTGAAACGGTTCGCACCACTTATATCTTGTATTTCGACTAAAAAGAAGCTTTTAGCGGCTCTGACCAGTAGTAAGCCCAGGACCAAAGACATCACATATCGCGCGCTTTCGGCACCGCGGGTCGCCCCCGTAGGTGGAGGAGGTTTCCGCGTCATCCGGTTAAAATATGACGCACTGATATTTAGTTACTCTCTCCGTGCCCGCTGGCTTGCCCGAACCCCAAGTGACGTGGAAACCGCAGAAAAGATAGACGCTTAATTATGATTGCAGAGCCCCTTTAAAGGACACATGCAAAGGAAAAAAACATTTTTTTTAAACGGCTTAGATGGAAAAAGGACGGCATAAAACGATATTACAACGAAGAAAAAAATTTTTAGAGCTATATTTACGGCGCAAAATGAATTTGTAGTTGGCGCCCGCGGGCACCGCGGAAAAGTGGCCCGTATTTATCACGTGACTGGTCCTTATTTATCACGTGGTGCTTGCGCTCTTTCGGAAGCTTCCTATGGCCTCTAAAAGTAACTTATTCATCTTTGTTTGAAGTATAACAAAAAACCAAGATGAATAAGTAACTTTTAGAGCCCAAAGGAAACTCCTGAAAAAGCGCAAGCAGACGTGATAGACCTGTGCGCCGGTCAGACGACGGCGGCGGCGCCCCGAAGCAGACTAACTTTTGCGGCGGCGGCGACGGCGGCGTGGAGAAACGCGTTGAAGCAGCGTTCGCACAACGCTCAGCGTGCGGCAGCGACGCAGCGCGGCGGCGCGCGGGCCTACCACGTGACCAGCGGCGGCTCCCGCGAGCGCCAACTACAAATTCATATAGCGCCGTAAATATCGCTCTAAAAATTTTGTTTCTTCGTTGTAAAATCGTTTTACGACATCCTTTTTCCATCTAAGCTGTCTAAAAAAAATGTTTTTTTCCTTTGCATGTGTCCTTTAAGGGAGAGATCAACTCAAACTATCGAGACCATTTGCAGTGTAACGGCAGACACCTTCTGCACAAATTAGTTGCTTACTCACACACGTGCGCTGCCGCGCAGCGAGGAAGATACCGGGTGGAAAGATAAAGCCAAGTTTGGAGACGCCTGCAGCTGCAGACGATAGACACTTTCGCCTCCTTCTCCTCGCAGCTCGTGTTGCAAACGCGAGCCGTAAACCACGTGCGCAAACGAGCAGTTGGAAACGCACTCAAATCTGGGCACACTATGTGGCGCGCTTTCGGCGAGCACCTGCTTGGATCCCGGCCCAAAAAGAACGATAATGCTCTCCCAAAAGAAAGAAAAATGCCTTTAGACGTTTCTAAATTCTTCTTGTTTCATCTTCTTAAATGTGGCTCGTGACATATGTCCTCTATAAAGCGGCATATTTTTTAATAACCAGAGGAGTTGAAACTTTGCACTTTATTTATTCTCTTCATCCAAACATTGTTGCCATGTTCGATGTGACCATTCTGTCCTCTAGTTGCGGACAGGAAGAGAGTGGCAGGACGTCTCCTTTCATTATTTGGCTTCCGGCACGCGCTCATTGCCTTCCCCCGTGCTTTGACTCTGGATGCATGCTTGGAGCTCACGAGACACCGAAGCATCATTGAAGGCTGGAAGCTCGTGCTGGAGGTGGGACAACCGAGAGACCTCCCTACCGTTCTCAACCTGTTAGTGACTAGTTAGTGACATCCTGTTAGCAAGTTGCCTAGCGACTTCTGCTATTGTCTCTCTTTTTCTGTCAAAAAGGCTGCCAGTACCGGGATGCGGAACAAAACAGTTGTTGTGGAAAGTTCTTTAGGGAGGAAAATGAAGAGGTCCATGTGCTCTGTGCGACTACTTTTTTTAGCACTGCATTCAAAGCACCCTTTTTGTTTTCGTCTGCGGTTTTGCTTCTGCTTTGTAGCCGTTGTTCTTCACTGTCGCTGTTACATCGTGTTGCTATCGATACTTTAAAATTAAGCATCTTACTTGTTTTGTTGATTCTTGACACTACAAACAATCTCTCTGACCATTTAAAATGTTTTAATATCCTGGCCTCTGCCATAATTTGCTGAGAAAATGTCCATTGCAAGTTTGCATCCTTAAAGGCAAATTAAAGTTAACTCCAGTGCCTTTTAATAATCCCTCTATTGGTGCTTGGGGAGCCTGGATTGTGATGCTATAATTTAGGAATCATGCTCCATCCCCCGGGGTCAATCTATAGGAACTTCTAGAGTGTGGGGTGGCGTGAAAATCTTCCTCGTCAGGGTAACTTTTTGGTGAGAAAACAAATATTCAATAGAGGGAGTGCTCAGCTTTGTAATTGAATAGTTTTTATTTGCCTTCCAGATTTTTGGCTACGTAGTTAACATTATGCAAATCTTCTCGGTCTGGCAAAACCACGAGACATAGCTCATCTCGGTCATGGCGGCCCGTTTTGATAGTGAGAGTCTTTGCCACATGACCGCTATTTGGAACTGATGGCAGTTTCATTTTTACTTTTCTTGACAGAAAGAAGAGACTGGACTGCCAACTCCGTATACGCAAAACCCCACTTCTATGATGCGGTACGAGTATCGCAGTGTTTTCTTTGTCTGTCAGAAGCCTGTGGATCCAAACCCTGCATCTGAAGCCACCGAGACTTCTCAGGCATCGGATGCGCCAAGTGACGACTCCTCTTGATCATGCGTGTAGCCAGTGAAGTGCAAAGGAAACAACATTATCACAATTGTAAAATTATAATTGATGCTTCCATATATTTCAATATGACATTGGGTGTAGGTGTGGTGTGTAGTATATACAGGATGTTCTCTTAGAGTGCCCCAAATTTTGAAAAATGGGAACTTGCGTTAGAATTTGTATTTGCGACTCCAGCAAAACGGACGGCACCTAGCGGGAAAACACTTGGCTGGCCGAAACAGGTCGCTTCACGATTTCTGCTCGTCCCTCGTGGCTTCCGTGATTGCATGCTGTCGGCGGCTGGCACGATAGCCGCTGAAGTAAAGCGAGAGAAGTTGCGTCGGCTGTGTCCAAAGCAACGGAAACAGCAGCAATAACAGGACCGCAGATAAAACCATGACTAAGGCCTGTGGAATTAGGCGCACCTTACATTGCTTTTTATGTTGTGTGGGGCGAACAGTTGTACCGGCGAAATTGTCATTACTGTCGTATCAGCATGTTGCCGAGGTAACTTGAAAGGCAGCCTACGCAAATACTTGAACCAGACATTGCGCATTTATTAACGTTCATTTGTGCAATAGAAGGACAGTAGGTAGTTGTACTTTCTTTGCTTCCCTGAAAAAGGTCAAGCCCCTGGAAGCTCACTTTAGCCAATACACCACCACAGGTTTGAAACTTAGTGAATAAAAATCGGGGCATACGAATTTGGAGCCGATGCTTGCCTGCTGACACCCAAGTATTGTGCATTGAGCTGTCACATATCACTGCACAACCTGTTTTTGACCTCCATATTTACTAGGGAGTGGCGACCTCTATAGATCGCTGGAGTTGCGAAGAGCCTTGAGGAGTTGGGGACTCTAGACAAGAGGTAAAATTTGTTAATTAGTTAGCTAATTAAATATAAAGCCTCAACTATCTTTTTAAATTCTTAGTTTTGTGATCATCATGTGGTCAGAGAATTGACAGTCAACCTCCTTTCAGCCTAACCGGGATGTAAAATTTTGGTAAAAAAATTTCATATGGGGCAAGAAATGTCATTCTTGTGCGTGGCTTCAAAGCGAAACTAACCAGTGAAGAATGCCTAGGACAGGGGTTCTCAAACTTTTTGGTCTCACGGAACCCCAGGAAGCCTCAGAAACTGCCGCGGAACCCTCCCCCCCTCCATATTTGCCGACCGAGAAGCAACAGATGCACAATTGTAGGCAATTCTGCTTGTGTTGCTTCCCATATATCCCCACCATATCAATCGCGATGGCAGTACATAGTGAGATGAAGGCGCTTTGCATGGTCCTGCCGCGCAGCCTGCGGCATGGGGGGGTTGCAATCTGGGTGCTCGCGGAACCCATGAGACCTGCTCGTGGAACCCCTGTGTTCCCCGGAACCCAGTTGAGAACCCCTGGCCTAGGACATTAATTCTTCTGTCCTACTCCTGCTCCCCAACTCGCATGTCCCCAACTCACGTGTCCCCAACTCACGTATCTGCAACTCGCATGTCTGCACAACAGACGTCAGCAGTGCGATAGAAGTGCAGAGCAGAGAGTTTGACGTCCCGAGTGCGCTTCATTGGTTAGTTTTGATTTGATGCTGTATACAAGGAAGACATTTCTTGCCCCGTAGTGCACACTACAATTGTTTTAATCATCATTTCATGTCATGGAGGCTTATGAGGAGGTTGAGTGTCAATTCCCCAATAATGTTATGCCCCCCCCCCCCCCCAAAAAAAAAAAAAAGGGTTAGTAGAAATTTTTTAGTTAATTAGCTAACTAATTAACAAATTTTGCCTCTTTTTTAAAGTGGCCCCATGGTCCCCAACTTAACCGCATGGCTACAAAAATGCTAAAACAAGTACCTTTTTTTTAACAAATTCTGGTCCCTCTAAAGAAAACCAGCCTGCATATAGGATAGGAAGGTCAATTTTTTGGTGGGTCAGTTACCTCAGATTTGTTACTTTAGCATTTTTCTCCTGCATAGAGCGAAGCAGTTGTATTTTCTTGTTCCCCTTGCATTGTTGCCAGGGTAAGTGAGATGTTTTATTAGCAAAGCACAAACCAAGTGTATTTTGATTTCCTATGAAACATTATATTTTCTCAAGGAATAGAGCACTCGAAAATTCAAGATGAGGCCAAAGCCTATAGTTACAAGGTAATAGAAAAAGAAGCAGTGATATTTATGAGTAAAACATGCAGTGAATGCACAGTAGATCAAAGGCACAAAGAGCCAGTTAGGTGTGCTCTTTATGAAGACCTTGTGGTGCGAGTGCTGTGAATGTGCTTAGATGATGCCAAGGTCGAATGTTTTGTATCGGAGTGCGTTTAGTAAAACTCTTTCAAGAACTTCCATTAGCATTCTTTCCGTTTATATATTTTAGGTGGAAAATGCTACCCTTCATTCGTAACCCTCCAACACAGATTTCTTTTTTTTTTTTTACGGATTTTGGAAGGATATTTTACAAAGAAAGTAACGTTAGAAGCTTGCCTGGTTCCAACCACTCTATTGGTGGACCTGAAGGTTTCCCATGTAATTAAGGAGGCAAATGTTTTGTCATGCAGGCAAAGATGAACAACTGCATAAAATCCTTTACATGCATATTTATGGTGTACAACAACCGGCATGTTGGAAACCCCATCCAGTTCAGTTATTTTATGTTACCTTAGTTACCTTTCTAGTGGCTACCTCTGCTATGTTTAAAATCTAGTAATAAAAATATATTGTAGGCAACATTCCTTGTTTGTACTGTAGCACTGTTGTTTTCAAGAGAATGTTAACATTGGACAGCTGGTTTTCCAGTGTAGGAGGCTGCTCACATCGTGGTATGAATGTAAGCTTCTTTACACACGTTAGCATATCTTTTATTTTTTTAAGAGCCACGTGGAACCACTGTTTCTGCTGGCGTATGATTGTTGGGTCTGTTTTGTTCGGGTACATATCACAAGAGCGAATGACATTTTAGCGAATGGCGACATTTGAGCGAATGGTCGTTTTAGCGAATAACGGGGGCGCGCGTTAACCCATCCGTCGCGCTGCGCTTTACGCCGCTTCGCGGCGACAGTCTGCGGCAACTCATTACAAAAATATGAACTCACTTGGCCCACCCGAAAACGCCGCTTCGCGGCGTCCGACTATTCGCTAAAGTGTCGTTCGATGAAACGTGGGCGTTCGCTAAAACGTCATTCGATCAAGTGAGTGCCTCCCGTTTTGTTCATATGTGAGTATCAAATGTCATGAAAATGAGACCATGAATATTACTGTGAATATAAAAATGCGTGAACCTATGACCTGTTAGTTAGGAACAAATCTTGCATGAAGTTATATATTATTTGTACGTGCACAGAAATAAATTAAATATTTGTAATCTTTCAATATTTATGGTGCCTCGTTTTCTCACAAAATCTCACTGTTTCCCGATACGCACAGTGAATCGTAACGTCTAGGCCACACATGGAGTAGACATTCATGAGAGCGACCGATCAGGCCGAGGATCGCGTTTTGACCGTAAGAGGCTCTCTCTCACATGCACGAATGTGGATGCCGGGTACGTGCAGTCCGGTCTTCGGACCTGTGCATCTACTGTGCCTGCTCGATTTTATTGCACACACTCGTGCCACAAGATCGGTAATCTGATATGCGGTGCAGCCGAACTCGGAGCGCGCTTAAATGACCAATCAGACCGTATGTCATAGTCTCGAAAGAAATACGGAGTTTCGATCACCTCTGCCTCCTCTACATCACCTTCGCAGCGCGTCGACAGTTGCCATGGCGGTCGCCATGGCGACCACGACGCCTACGATCAGCCGATTCTGCCGATTCTGCCTACAACGCAAACGGAAATGACGCCCGCCACCTTTTCTAGCTACTACACTGCGCCTCATAAGACTGCTATAAGAACGGCTGAATCCGCAGCCGGCGCGCAGGCGGGCGCAGGCGGGCGTACGGAACCGAACCGACGGGGAGCGCAAAGCGCTTGATGTCGCGGCACGGTCCTCGCGTATTCACCGGCTTCAACTCCAGACTGTGCCTTTCAATTCCGTTTCTACGGGTTTCTGGGCCAACCGGATTACTCTGACATCGTTTCCTCGTGCCCTTTTGGGTGTCCGATTCTCGACGCCGTGTGGATACGCCGCTGATTCCGAGGACAAGACGGTCTTATCATTTGCTCCTCTTGGCTTCTCCACGCAACTTCGGGACTTCGGTCGGCGGCGAAGGCGGCATCGGCGCACTGGTCGGGTCGAATAGCTACGGTTGGTTGACAGGTTTGACGCACCGTTCTCCCGCTCGACGGGCTTGATTCAAAGCTTTCCCGCGCTGCATCGAGGGACACGCACGCGCCCGGCCTGAGAATGGAAGACGTGCCCGTGTTCTCGCTCACTGACTACATCGTTATGGGCCTGATGCTGTGTGTGTCTTCGGGCATCGGCATCTTCTTTGCGGTACGGGATCGGAGGGACCAGTCGAACAAGACCTTCTTGCTGGGCAACAGACAACTGGGCGTCTTTCCTGTGGCCATGTCTCTGATGGCAAGCTTCCAGTCGGCCACCACGGTCCTGGGCTACCCGGCCGAAATGTACTACAAGGGCACTCAGTTCTGGATGGCCATCTTCGGACTAGCATTGTCGAACGTGATCGCCGCCGAACTGTTTATGCCGGTCCTCTACAACCTACAGCTGACGAGCGTGAATTCGGTGAGTGACGTTTGGTTCTTCGCTCCAACCCATTACTTCCCTGTGTTTGTCGTCCGGTGCGGAGTCGCAGCCGCATCGCAGGCGACGTACAGAAAGAAAAAAAAAAAAAAAAAAAAAGTGTTTTATTACAATTATTTTAAAATTCGATTTCCTCCATATTTGGAAGTCTAACAAAAAAAAAAAAAAAAAAACATCGAAAAGGGCACACTTTCATCCAGCAAAGAGCCGATGCATGTGTATGTTGATAGCCGGTAACCTCCCGAAAGCACCCATCGGGGGGCAATCCCCTGCGATGCCCCTGCACTGTTCTGGCAAAACCGGTTTTCCGGCGGCGCGCCCTTCACGCGTGGTTTTCCAAGGATGACACTTTCGACGGTGCGAGATGCATCAGGTGAAAGTCGATATCGAAACTAACATTGATGGTGGTTGCGATTCCAAAAGGCTCCGCTGTCTATCTTCACATTTTCAACAGCATGTATTTGCACTATGGGACTGATAAACTGTGGCAGAACAGTAGTTATTTTTTTTTTATTTAGTTTTGAATTGGACGAACGAGGTCACGTCGAAATCGAATCTGGTTTGTACCTCGCGTCTGCCATCTCTGAATAGCCGTGCCGTGATGTCCAAAATCTCATCTCGCCTGCGGCTAACATGCAGGGACATAGAAACAGAATAAAGTGGGAGGAGATTGGTGAACAATTCGAGGCTAGATTAGCCAACCGGAGGGGAGATGAACGCAAAGGCGAAGGTCTAGGCATGTTAGTTTTAAATGACAAGACTGGGAAAGAGAGAAGGAGAGCTGCAAAAAATATTTATGGTTGAAAGGTAGGGTAACAGGTCTAAACACTCTCCTGGGGTTTGCTTACCTGAAAACAGGAAACGATTCAAGGGAATAATTGATACAGACAAAACACTTTACATGTAAATCGAGGGGCATCAGAGAAATTGGCCTTAATCAGGAAATAATTATCATAAGAGACACGAACGTCCACTTAGAAGAGTTTAACGGATTCACAGATACAATCAGAAAATCGCTAGAGGTTTTCTGTAATGCCCTGGACCTAGTGTTAGTTAATGCAAGTAAAATGCGACGAGAAAATACTGGGAACAAAACAACTCACACTCAACAATAGGCTATTGCCTCATGTTCCACAAACTGTATGACAGGCTTGGAAGTAAGGAAATAGATGAGGAAGGTGCAAAAAGCTTGGGGAGTGGCCACAAACAAATTAAGATTACATTTGGCGCATCTGGATCTGAACATCAAGCTCGGGAACAAGCGGGCAAGCCGAAGCTAAGTGAAGCTCAAATACAAAGAGTATCTAAAAGTATTGAGAACATAGTACCGAAACGGCCGGAAAGGGAATGGACGTATGATGGATCTAATTGGAATCTTCAAAAGGAAATTAGAGGAGCATCTAATTAAACAAAGAGGAAAGCAAAAACGAAGGCACAAACCAAAAAAGCTGGTGGGATAAGGAGGTCAAAGCAGCCATATTGCGGCACCAGTAGGTATCTATGGAGCATAGATGGGCACAGAAAAGGTTAAAGGGATACTACAACGAAATTTCGGCGCTTATTTTTTGGTCTATATGTGTTCAAAGGAGCAGCATCACATTGAACACACCAATATCTTGTTAAAAAAGTCACGAAAAGGAATTTTAAAACTAATTAAACGATTGGCAACAAGCACCTGGTGGATGTCGCTAACGCCGTGTTTGTAACGCCCGCCGAGGAACCTTGAGAGGTAGTGACGATGACTGTCTCGCCTCCGGCCACGACGAGAGAAGAGGGGAAGGAGGAACTTCCCTCTTCCCGAGAATCCCTTTTGTGTGTCTCAAAAGTCGCTACTGTCCCTCTACAAGATTATACACCAACTCACGTTTGGATGGATGGATGAATCCGGCTGAGCCCTTTGGATCGGGCGGTAGCTTACGCCACCTAGCCATTTTGTTTTTAGCATTTAAGCTTAGAATATTTAAATCTGAAATCTATATTCACTCCGCACTGCAAAGAAAGTGAGGCTATAAAACCCCCTTGCCATCAGTTAATAAGAAAATACCTAGTTTTCTCTCGCTTTCTGCCACCATTCACTTAATCTTTGCTTGGTAATCTCTAGTCTTGAAATCCACTCTCCCTTCGCTGTCTCTAAAACCCAATGACTTTACTAAATATATGTTGTCTTCGGTAGGCATAGGGTGAAGCCCTTTACAATAGAGTATCAAGTGCTCAGCCGTCTCGTCCTCCTCTCCACAAGCAGTGCACGCTGTATCCATTTCCTGGTACTTTGCTCTGTATGTTCTGGTTCGCAGAACACCCGTCCTCACCTCAAACAACAATGAGCTTCCCCTAGAATTGTCATAAATGCTTTCTTTGGCAATAACTGTTTTGTTTAATCTATAACTTTCCGGAGCTGTCTTTGTCAGCATTCCCTCTAGCCACCGATCTCTTTCTGTGGCCTTAACTTTCTCCTTAACTGAGACCCGCTCTTCCGTATCTCCACTATAGCCTAAAAACTTTCCTCTTAATTTCCTAGTGCGCTGTCTCCACTTTGTGTCTATACTCCTCATGTATTAATAGCTGAAAACCTTTCGTGCCCATTGCTCCGCATTCATTTGCCTCAACCGATCCTCAAATTCTATCTGGCTCACGACTTCCCTGCTCTCAAATGACGCCCATCCCATGTCTCTTTGTACTCCATGGTTTGGCGTTTTGCAATGTGCCCCCAAAGCCAGCCTACCTACTCCGCGCTGTTTTATTTCTAGTCTTGCATGCACTTCGGATTTCATGCATAGCACTGCGTTTCCAAAAGTCAAGCCAGGCACCATGACCCCTTTTCAAATCTCTCTCACCAGCTCATACCTGTTGTAATTCCAAAGTGCTCTATTTTTCATTACAGCTGCATTTCTGTTGCCCTTACCTATTATATACTTTTCATGCTCGCTGAGATATTCTGAATCATCACATATCCATACTCCTCGATACTTGTATTTACTAGCTGTCTCAACTGTAATATTCTGTATCTTCAGCCTCTCAACTTCATCATCGTTAAAAATCATGACTGCCGATTTTTCACTACTGAATTCTAAACCTAATTCCTCTCCTTCCCTACCACAGATGCTCATTTATTCCTGCAACTCTGTCCTGTTGTTTACAAACAAACCGGAGCGCCCCTGGCGGACGCCACCGGCGCCGCGCATGCGCGATGGGGGTGTGGACAAGAAGCTCGCCGTTGCCCATAAACAAACCGTTGGAATGGGACGTTGTCGGCGTCGGTGCGAGTCCCCGCGCTCTTTTTCGCGTTGGAATTGTTGATTCTACGTCTTCCTGGCAATGTCTGACTACTTAAGCGGCCTCAGCGAAAATAACGAGGCTCGCCGTGACGTAACAGAGAGGAGTAACCGTCGCTCAATATTCGCACAAAAGCGGCCGCTTCGGTGGCTGGAACGACTAGGCCATCCTCTCGACGTCAGCCTTGCCGTAGCTTTGCTCGTTCCGAGACGAACTACGTCACGATTGCGTTGGATGTCGCCTGCCCTCCGCTGGCTGTTCTCCGAGCGCTTGCCCGAATGGGCCGTTTATAACGAAAAATACAGCCACCAGATTCAAAATACAAACGTGCGATTGTCATTTACGGGTATTGTGGATCATATTCAACTTACTTTTGAACACGACGGGTATATTTCAAATTTCGTTGAAGTATCCCTTTAAGTTGCCAGCTGAAGTAGCATCAGAATGGGAAAACTTCCAAGAGCGAAAAAGGGAGACATCAGCTTTAATACAGGCCAAAATTAGGAGTGTAGTGGATGATTAGAATAAATAAAAAAGATAGGAATGCAGCGGAAAGAGAAAAGAGTCAAAGTACAGGCTAGCTGGTGGAAGTCAACCATTTCGTCGTTTACCCTGAGACTGGGGGGGTTTTTTTGAAGAGCAGAAGAAACAGAAAAACCTGTCTGTTTTTTCTGTTTCTTCTGCTCTTCAAAAAACCCCCCAGTCTCAGGGTAAACGACGAAATGGCAGCGGAAAGGTTTTGAGAGCACATTAAAGCGCAGGGGAGAAGGACGGAGGGTTTCCAACACGCACTGACCAGTGACCACACAGGAGGGGAGAAGAGTAGAGGGGGAAGATACGGGAATACGTTTCCGAGAACCACTCGACCCCAGGGGCAGCAAACCGTTTTCGAACCCAGTCTGAGGGTTTGAGGCTAGACTCTCGTCGGCGTCCCTGCTAACCGTAACCGAGTGGACGGTGATTTCGATAGGCGCAGTTTCGAACACTGCTGGCGGCTAAATTTTCGTCTTTTCCCGTTCTATTTTGTGTTTCATGGTGTATGTATGTATTTCCCCGAGGGCATTGAAAAAGCATTGTAATTTGTACCACACTTAAAAAAAACGTTTTTTTTTTTTTTTTTTTTTTTTTTTTGTTGTTGGTACGCGCGATAGAACAAATGCGACTGGAAAGTTAGTAGTCGTGTTTTTTTTTTTATTATTTTACGATAAGTTTTGATGGCGCCGCCCGGTTAGCCGCGTGTCAAACGACAACGCGCTTAGCTGTCAAAAATAATTTACAACAGAAGATAGCCGAAATGCATGCATTTTTCACGCTCACATATAACGTGTTTACCGATGGACAGGACACGGACGTACAATTTAGCAAGTGTTAACCAATATATTGTACGTACCACACGATGCAGCGTTTTCTGAAAAATAATTTACTTGACAAAGATCGCAAATAACACAGTCACATCCAACGATAGTCACATCTTGACGATCGGACGGAATCCAAGAGGACTTCGTTTTAAGGAAGGTTTTGGGGGAGAGCTTACTTTTTAGGCACCAAGGCAAAGAAACGGGCGCGACTGACTTTAACCCCAACAACTATTTTTGGCTATGACTGAGAAGGACTCTACGCGGATTATCTCTGAGAGGGGGGTGTGGGGGGGGGGGGGGGGGGGGGGGGAAGGGCAGTTGTCATTGTTCGCCGAATCGCGTCGAGGGCTG